ACTATTTGTATATGATCATTGTTCATTAACTGTACGTTTTTTTGACTTAAGTAACCTAGCTAAATTTCTTTAAAGTATTGAAGAAGCAACTTTATAAGTAGGTTGAAGCTATCCCTTATTATAATAAATATATTGAATACATATTTGTTGTCAGATACTAGTATTTCCAATAAATATAAAGCCACAACTTATGCAACTCAATAATAACACAATCTTAAAGGTACGGTCTAAGTTCCAGTTTATACTTTCCCAGTAAAATTTCACTGATTTCCAATAAGCAACACTCCAAGAAAACCAAATTGAAAATTTGATCAAAGCAGGAATTATAACCAAGAACACTTTCTATAACCAATTTTGGGAGGAATGCATTTCTACGCCAAGGTGTTCACCCCATCTTCGATTTGATTCAACTCTCCCCCGTCAAGTTGAATGACAAGCACGGAAGGAGTAGCGTTAATCGCGGAACGTGTCTCGAATTTTAAGACAATATCCAAAAAATCCAGAACTCTTGAGCTTACAACTCAATTGTTAACCATCAAAAGAGGCAGAGGTTTCTTTTCTTTAATTTTTTTTTTTTGTTCACTCGGAAAGCGTTCAACGACTTTTGCCAGAACATAAATCTTCTGTCGAGGTGTGTCCAATGAACACATTAAGGCTCAACAATTTACATAATATTTTGTATATCTTAACTCTTTTCAGTTAGCCAGAGGAGTTAGAGTCAAAAAAAACCCAGAGAACTGAAGCCGACAAGATGAGAAGAGCCAAAGGCTGGCTGTTAATGACAGCAACAGGTGAGTGGTACCGGAGGAGGATACTGGTCTAAAAACTGAGCTGAAAACCCACAAAACACACTTAATGGTTTCACTCCAACCGGACTGTGATATAATACCAATCCTGGCCGGGTTATGCAATTCCTGGGGAGCCGTGAAGCTTTTAATTAATTTATATTTCGTTTTCCTTTTCGATGGACGCAGTGCTGCTACTGAGCCTGTTGGCCTCCACAGATGCCGCCCTGCCTTTCAAGAAGGTATCCATTGCCAAGACACCCGCCTCCACCAGCAGCACCACCACCAGCACAACGACAACAGAGCCTGCAGCAGTCGCTGAGGAGGAGGAACCGGAGGAGGAGCAGTCAGTGCCCACCAGCGAGGGCGGCGACAGCAACAAGGTGAGAAATGGATTTAATACGATTTTTACATGTTCCAATCATTTTGGTTAAACCCTTCATTTCAGTCGGACAATGGGACTCTGTCGAAGAACTCCAAGCTGACGGGCATCCCACAAATCGATTACATCTGGGATCCCAATCTGCCCAGGGAGCTGAGGGGGTAAGGATGTAGTAAAATGTTAGGGTTTTAAAGATAAACTGACTTTCTTACTCCACAGCTACAACCTGTCCACTTATCCCTTCCTGTCCACCGTACCGCCCATGGACGAGATCCACTTCAAGTGCGAGGGCCTGCACGACGGCTTCTATGCCTCCATTGAGTACAAGTGCCAGGTGAGCAGCATGACCTTGTCTGGGCCTAATGCCGACGTAACACAATTGGTCACCAAGCGTAGACAAACCAAACCGAGCCCAGTCCAGACCCAACCCTATGTGCATGTCCAGCAATTTCTCTTTTTTATTTTTGTCGTCTGCCGACGTGACGTCAAAAAAATACAAAAGAAACAAACCAAACTTGTTTGCGGCTCGATCTTGACCCCAAAAGCGGGCAAAGAGAAGCGCTAAACGATGTCTAACAGAGCGGATTAGTTATGGCCAAAATGTGATTAACCAGAGTTCGAACTTGTTGCAGATCTACCACCACTGTGTCTACGGCATCAGGCACGACTTTCTGTGCGCCAACTTCACGGCCTTCGATCAGCGCACCTTCATCTGCCACTTTGCCTCCGATGTGGACTGCGAGGGATCCCAGAAATACTGGAACAGGTAAGAGCTACTAGGGGAATCCCTGCCTCACACAGAGGTGGAGTCATTATCAGTTTTACAACAAGCTCTTGAATATTCAATGGTATATTAAGTCTTAAATAAGAATAATTACCCCATTTTCTACTCCCGTTTTTGACTAATACTATAATACCTTTGAAGGGTATAATAATAATTACATGCTTAGGTATTACCAAGTTCTTCGACATTTTTGACTTTACATAATGTCGCCTATCCCGCAGAAACGATGAGCTGTACATGGCCACCACCACCACATCCACGAGCACTACAACTACGGAACCGCCACCCACCCAACCATCGGCACCGCGTCGACGGCCGCAGAGACCACAGCGTCCGCTGAGGCGACCCTACAACCGCCGACCCATTGATGACTACTACTACGAGGAGCAGGATCAGTACGAGGATGATTACTACGAGGAACGTCCCGTCAGGCGGCACAAACCACGTCCCCGTCAAAGGAAGCCCCCAGTGGAGGTGGACTACGACGATGAGTACGACGAGAAACGAGCTGAGGCGGAGAAGCCAAATAGACGGAACAGAAATCGTTACCGGGATGAGCAGGAAAGCCAGGATGAAGACTACGATGAGCGGCCCAACAAGAGGCAAAGAGGTAAATCCACTTCAGGACCAGCGGGCCGCAAAGTATCACCAAGGAAGCCAGGACGTGTGGAGGAGCGACGCAGCTTCAACGATGATCGGCCGCTGGGCAGGAGACGCATTGAGAAGCAGAGAACCACACCATCGTCCGCTTTGGATGAACTGGATGAGTACGAGAAGCCATACGGAGGAGTGGATCAAGAAGAGGCAGCCGAAGAGCAGACACCCCAGAAGGTTAAGACAACCCCAAAGCCACTAAGTGAATTCATTACACCCAAGGCAGCAGCTGCTTCCGTTTATGCCCGTCCCCGGCTCCTCCAAGGATAGCACGTCCCGTACCCATCAACGAGAAGAAGAAGTACTCATATCCTGTGCAAAAGAGCACAGCCACCACCCAAGCACCCTCAAGCAGTGGCCAGGAGGAGGAGGATTATCTCGAGGAGCAGGCGGAAGAGGACTACGAGCAACCACCAGCCAGGAACACAGCCAGAAGGCGTACCCCGGCACCGCGTGCGGAGCAGAAGCCCACGAGAACAACTCTGCGGAAACCCGTGACGGATAAGAAGCCACTCGTTGACGATTACTATGAGCCGGCGGATCACCAGGAGCCAATAAGAAAGCGCAAGCGTCCCTTGGCTCCCAGATCCCGTGCCCCAGCAGCAGATGTGGACTTCGAGGACGAGGACTATGAGGAGAGTCCAGCGCCTGTGTCCACAGCCGCTCCGGCGAGAAACCAGAGACTGAGGGCCAAGACCACAACTAGCACCAGGAAGCCAACGGCACCACCCCGCCCCCGCCAGCCGATCGTGGAGGAGGAAGAAGACTTGGAGCAGGAGCAGCAGCCAGTGGATCATGTCGAGGAGGAGGCACCGCCGCCCAGGACGCGAGTCAACTCACTCAACGCGCGAACGGCGGGAATTGGAAAGTCGCAGCGTCCCTCATCGGTACGTGTGGTCAAGCGACCCTTCCTGCCCTCCAGGGGCGGCAGTCCTTATCTGCCCCGCGGCCTTCAGCCGGTGGGAGTAGCATTGAAGCCATTGCCCACCACGGATAGCACACCCATTGACATGGGCTCCACCATCTCGGGAGTGCGTTTGCTCGAGCACGGTGCTCCCTTGCTGAGAGGAAGGCCCGACAGCGACGAGGATGACGACGAGGTGGAGCCACCTCCGTCTCCAAGTCCGCCAAGAACTACTCTCCCGCCGCGCAGTGCCCTGCCGGCCACATCAAAGCGAGTGGAGCAGCCGCGTCCCAAGCTAAATCTCGATGAGCTCTACGAGAATGACTACGATGTGACGCTGAACGATGCACTCGATCCCACTCTGAAACCGCTCTCGCCCCAGCATTCGCATACCAATACGCATCCACATTCGCATCAGCTTCCATACCAACAGCAGCAGCAGCAGCAGCGGCAGTATGCCAGTGCCTACAATCCATTCGCCTATCAGCCTGCAGCGTATCAATCACCAACATCCGCTTCAGCTTCGGCATCCGCACCTGCATCCGCACCCGCATCCGCATCCCAATCGCAGCCAGCGAACTATCATAGTGATTCCTATTTCTCATCGACAGATATACGTCGGCGGGCTGTTGTCCCGGCGCAAGCCTCGCGTCCACATCGACACGAATACGCTGCTGCCGGAGGAATCGGCGGCGGAGGAGCATCCGGAGTGAGCCGGAGTTATCAGCCGGCGGCGGCGGGCGGACGGATTGCCCAGCATTTCTACGACGACTTTGCCTACTAAATAGTTCGCGTGTAATAAGGTGAGAGCTCTGCTCCTTCGATTAAACAGACCAAAATCCTGATAGAGAATGTGTTCTTCCCTCCTTTCAGTTTCTTCAGATGTAAATAAGTTTTCCCCAAAACACACACAAGGAGAGTTCCATACGGTGCACGGCTCCTGCAACTTCTTAAACAAATCTGTCTCTACCCTTAGTTGTTTAGCCGCAAAAAGAAAACCTACTCGTAATTCAAGAAGGTTCGGGACATTACTGGCTTTCAACTGCTAAAAATAAGCTATGTGATTAATTCTCTACTTCAATGACAGCCTTTAGTTTGCGGCATTAATACAAATTGGCGATAAAGTTAACTCTCAAAGCTCTTAGCATATGGCACGTCATGTCCCGAACCTTTCAACTTAATATATACGTTGTATAATACTCAAATGTCGTGATAGTAGCAGCTTGCGAATTTGTCTGCTAGCTCGTATCTAGTAGTTTATGAAACTAACTAACACAGCCTCCTCCTCCACGTTTATCTCCGCAAAATCAAGAATCAAGGACATTTAAACATCCAGCAGAACAGTTTGAAACCTTAATTTAAAATTGCAATATGCACAAAAATTGTCTGTAATATTTAAGCATTGTCCGGAGATCGACAGATCCAAGACTTAAGTCGGAGTGCATATAATATAAAATAAACAAAAACTAAAATAAATATAAAAAAACTTACCCAAATTGGTTTCACTTTTACTAGAGCCTGTTCTGGGCTAATCTTTGTTGGATGATTGTAAGCAGATCTTTAGATTCTCCGTTTCCTCTTCCAAATGGTCAAGTTTTTTCATTAAAATTATCTGGAAAAGCCATATATTGCAAACTGAGGTTATCAAATTTCACAAATAGAACTATTTTTACCTTAGCTGCAGAGACAATTTCTGTGGCCACCCTGAGAGGCATGTGCTCCACTGATTGAACCAACAGAATGGGTCTTATCTTGGCAAGATCCTCAATGCTTCTGAATCCAGCTGCGTACAGTTGCTTGGCTCGATTCTAAATTAAGAATAAAATGCCAAATTACCATCAAAACAAATCATAGATTTCTCTTTTCTACTCACAATTTTAACGCCTGGAAGTTCCATCAACGGCTCCAATTCTAAGGTACCACATCTGTCCATTTTGTGAAGAATACGCTCGAACAAGGGCTTATAGCACCAAAACTCCTCCAGCTCCTCGCACAGGCGGACAATGGCGCTGGAGGCGGCAATTGATTGGCTGATCAGGTGCTGCAGAGTTCCACGCTCAACGTTGTACTTGCTGGCCACATTAGGCAGCGGCATGAGGTCAAGAATATCCGACAGGATCAGCACCTTGTACATGCGGTTTAGCTGGAGGGAAAGTGGACCCTGCACCGACTGGTTCTTGAACAGCCTAGCTGCATGGGCTTCAGTGAATCCAAGCTGCTTAAACAGAGCCTGCGAATCCGTCGGAAGCGAGGTGTAAACTTGAAACAGAATACTGGCATCGGCCGGGAACAATTCATCGCCACGTTCGTTGGAGTTGAAGCACACGATTAGGTACAGAAGGTGGGAATAGTGCGTCAGGATGAGCTGCTGTTGCGCCTGCCTCAGCTCTTTGTGAATGGCACTGGCCCGCTTGTAATCAATGCCCGCTTTGAAGGCAGCTCTTCCAATGTTGGTCAGCTTAAATCGGGTGGACTGACCAATGAGTAGTCGCCGATCGCCACCAGAACGAGCAGTAGTTTGATTCACATCCTGTGTGGTTATGATCTCCGAGCAGTTGACCTTCGATTTGCCCAATGGTTCGGTCACCTGCAGAACTTTGTTCTTGAACATCTCACGCAAGATTCGAAGCACTATCTCGTCTACAGCCACATCCAGGGCGCTGGCCTGCACAGATAACAGAGTGCTATTCACCAGACGATTCAAATCCCGACGACATTCCGCCAGGTTCAGTCCAATCACGCTAAGAATTAGAGACTGAAAGTAGTTTGGAAACAATAAAACTTTATGGTCTAATAACTTCCATATTGATAACCGATTTTACTCAAAAATGTTATTTTTACTTTAACCGAATAAGGCTAAATCGACTCGCTGGTGATGCTAGGATAAGGGATACCTTTGTTTATCTAATCTATATGGTTTGTGGCTTTCTGGAGACAGGTAACTGATCTGTAAGTCCCTTTTAAACCCAAACAAACTATTTTCTGGTCTGCTTCTTTTGGAGCTATTCAACACTGATGTAAATGACTCAATGCAATTGTATACTCAATCGAGTTTTCGCTCAAATACATTTCTGTCAAGTCAGCAGTGCCAAACTTCCGAGTTATTTCTCCGAAAATGACAGGTTAGCAGAAATCTGAACCAATTATAAATATTATTCAACTGTAACCCTAATATTTGACAGAAAATATTGCTAAATTATCAGAAATCCCTTGCAAGGTGTAGAAGGCTTTGACATTCGACAAATGAGCTCATTTTGTGACAAGAAGTCTTGTAGTGCAAGTGAAAAGTGCAGTGTCGTAAGAAAAAAAAGTCATACAGATCAAATCAACAATTAAAAAAAACAAGTACCTACGCGGTCTGTAGCAGAACTTGACAAATATAAAGCAAAATCAATATAATCTAAACACATATACCAAGTAATTGATTTAGGGATTCATAATCACTCACTAAAAAAGCAAAACTAAGGAGAGCTCAGTAAAAAACCAAAGAATAAGGGGCGAATAATATTCATTCATAAGAGAGCCATTAGAAAGTCAACCATGACTTGACTTATTCCTTAAGCACTCACCTGAAGTCCCACCGCTTCTTGCTGATCCAACGAACTTAGCGCCTTGTCCATGGGTGAAAACAGCATTTGTCCGACCTGCAGGTTGTCCTTGCTCTGGGCAATCAGAATGCTTTCACCCGCCTCACCTAGTCCAGCGCGTCCAGCGCGACCCACCATTTGCTTGTACTTGCACAGGGTCATGAACTCTTGGCCCACATATGGGGCTCGAATGATCACCCGCTTGGCCGGCAGATTAACTCCCGCCGCCAGTGTGGAGGTGCAGCAAATGACAGTGACCACTCCGAAACGGTAGGCCGTCTCGATGTACTTCCTCTCATCGGTCGTTAGGCCAGAGTGGTGATAGGCGATGCCATAGGGCAATGTCTTAGCCAGTACCGGACTGAGGATGCCGCACATCTTGTCCAGGGCATCCATCAGGTCGACTTTCTCGCTGCGTCGATGCTCAAAAAACTTCTGCTTGGGCACAATGCGGCTGAGAAGAAGAGCCACATTCTCGCAGTTCTTGCGGCTGGGGCAAAAGACCAAGCAACAATGTTCCGGGGCGCATTCGCTGATTAAGCCAGCCAGATGATCAGGATCCGCTTTCTTCACAGCTTCGCTGTACTGCAAGTATAGTTAAATAATCAGATGTTAAACTGAACGTAGAGCTGAAAGGATCTGAATTCTGCTTACGGAATAGTTAACGCTGCGACTGGGTACGAAGATCTCTTCCAGCGTTTGACCAGCCGCGTTAATTTCCAACAAATCGGAGCCACACTTGATGTACTCCTTCAGTTCAACTGGCCGAAAGCCTCTTGTGTAGACGTCTGCATTAAGAAACGCGGATATTTCGCTGAGATTGCCTATTGTGGCACTCATCCCGACAATTTGAATGTTGGCTGCAAGCGAAATAGGCATAGCTATAATTAGAAGGTCAGTGTTCAAGGCGTTGATAACTTACCATTTAGAAACATCACCTTGGTTAGGAAGGCCTCCAAGGTGGCTCCCCGTCCCCGTTCACCAATCAAATGCAGCTCGTCCACCACTACCAAGCCGATCTCATGAGGGCGCTGCACATCTATCAGGCTGTCCATGAGAACAGCTCCCTTTTCAATGGAAGCAATAAACAGGCTGCGCCTCTTGCGGCGTGGCTGAGGCGGGCATTTTCCCTTTCCCGCCGTGTACTCCTCCACAATGAAGTCCAGGTCAATGGCGAACGGCGACATGGCGCTGACCTTTTCCTGCACAATTGACACATATGGCAGGATGAACAAAACATTGCGTTCGCGACAAAGCAGCTCGCGCAGCATGAGAATCTCGGCCACCAGGGTTTTTCCTCCACTCGTGGGCAGGGCATATATCAGATTTTTTCGCTGCCTGATAGCAGGTAGATTCAGGCATTCGTCCTGCCATTCTGCAAGATAAAAAAACAAAACGGGTGGTTCTCAGAAAGGCGATAAATAATGGGTAATAACCTTAACTAACCGTACAAACTCTTGATGCCTTTGTGCTCTAATATCATCTTCTTGACCTTATCTGGAAGGCCATAGAATTCGCCCTTGCTGGGGAAGTTGTCCCTGGCCTGGTTATCCCTCTCGAAATCCGCAAAGGCTTGCGACTCCCAGTTCACTGGGTCGAGTATGGAGCGATTTTTTAGCTCTTCACATGTCTCGTACTGGGTGCCCTGCACTATGCCCTCGAGGACGGACTTGGAAATAAAGGACATGGACTCGTCGTCCTTCGCCGACGATAGATGCAGCTTCTCCGGCGACCGGGGCACTTTGAAGGCCACCGCATCCAGGAATAGTTGCGTGTTTTGCATTAACGGCTCACTGAAATCTTCGGCACCGTGGAATATATCCTCCATTTCGGCAACGCTCAGGTCGTTTAGGTTGATTTTCTTAAACACTTCATCGGCGTCCGCATCGCCCGAGAGGTCAATACGACTGTTCTGGTCCGCAGGAGTCCGAGTTCCCGCGTGTTCCAGCTTCAGTGTTGTGTCGGGGAAGGAAGTGTCGCCGAAAAGCCCGTCGTCGGCTACCGCGCTCTGCATCATATTGTTGTTGTTTCTGGTACTACTGCTTGTCTGTGCCTGCGTCCCGAAGAGCTCCCCTTTTTGACCGCTGAGCAAATCTTCCAGCTTCGCGTTTGAAAAGAAGCTTTCATCATCGCTGTCCGGCCAAAAGAGGCCCTCAGTGCACTGGCGCTTGGCATGGTTCTCCTCTTGACTCCCATGTTGTTCTTCCGTCAAGTTTAAAGCCCTTTTATTGCTAATGTTTTGACCATTGTTTTTACTTTGCTGGTTGGACATTTGGCGCTTAAAAGTGTAACCGTTGCAGAGAAGTGACAAAATAACAAAATAAGCTACCAACGCAAGGTGACGAAATTGACGACTCTGATCTCAATCCAAGTTCGGAACCCCTCATGTATTCCATGAGTGTTCACGTATTCATTTATTCATTCACTTCTTAAATTCTTCTTAGAATATTAGTTTTATGACCTAGAAGTTCATACGAAAATCAAGACGTCGTTTATTTGATAGAAAAGGGCAAAAAATATAGTGTAACTCCGACGAAAGCACCTTATTTCATTGTATCATGGAGTGCTGCGTATACTACATTCAGTACTTTTGACATTCTTAAGGTATTTTTTTAGTACGATTTAGGACTGAAAATGGCAAAGCTGTGAGAGAGGAGGAAGCGATAGGTAAGTGGTCTAGTATTTTTACGAACGTGTTTTGGTATTATGAAAACGCGCGGTGGGCACACTGATGACTCCCGCAATTTGTTTTCTTTTAGTTCAAATTCGCGTCTATTCATATGGAAGTGTAACTCGATACAGGATGGGCAGTTGCTGGTACCTAGAGCATGTCAGCACCGGCGATCGCATCGTCCTGAACAAGGGGGAGAACTTAATAGGTCGCCACTCCACATGCAAGATCACGATAAATCAGACCTACGACTTTGTGTCCCGGGTGCATGTGAAGATGACCGTGAGCGATGCTGGCGTCCTCGTACAATCTATGGTAAGTCTGTAGATTCTCTGTGTATTATTGTCATGTATGTATGTATGCCTAAATCGGTATTGTGTGTGCCTAGAACACCAGCAACGGAGTCTTCATCAATGAGCAGAAAATGAAGGACCAGAATACACGCACAAAAGTCGTGGCGGGCACCGTCATCAGTCTGGGAGTGGAAGGGCACATCACTAATGTTCCCCGCAACTACCCCATCTTCGTGCTGCGGAAAGTGGTTCCCACGGCGGAGCAGATAGTGCTGTCCTCGGACGATGATGATGATGGTGCCATTCCCGACTTGACAATAATAAAGACGGATACTACTGACCGGGAGAATCATCCCTCCTGTTCCAACTTGCACCTGCCAAAGATTCCCGAGGTAAAGCAGGAGCTGGTGAGCAAGACCTCCGAGGAGATTACAAACATCTTCGGCACAGCGGATGAAGCTATTCTAGGCAGCGTTATGGATTTGAATCCATATATTTTTAACCAGTTGAACAAGCAATCTGGCACTGCAGCTACTAGCGACAAAATTCACGACGGCGACGTAATAGAGCTGGATACGGATACTGATAGGGAGAATATGCAGCCAGCGTCGCCTCCGAAGCCGCTTGAAACCGTTGATTACGAGTACGACGAGCAGTTCGCTATTTCACAAGCTGTACTAGAGGGAATGAAAGCTGAGATGGCTTTCGACGTTGGCGAGGAAGACTTTCTGTCGTCCAATATCATGGACGCGGAAACACACTGGTGTTCGCCTTCGGCCCAAATGTACGATGATGACATTATAATTATAAACGAGAGCGATGACGATGAGCTGTATGACAAAGTGGCAGACTGGTCAAACAAGCTGCTCAGCCAAAAGGGTCCAAAAGACACCGAAATGTCGCAAGTATATCCGCTGATTCAAGACTCGGGCTCGGATCAGGAAACCGACTTTGGAATAAAGAAACGCCAGAAGTCATTCTGCATTGATAGCTCCGGAGAGGACGAAAGCAACGACATGGATATGTACAATGGTAAGAATTTTGTAACGTAAATAATTATAAGTTTCAAATTAATTTTTCAAATTATTCTTAGCGGACAGCATAACAACAAATGCTTCGCGTTTCCGCTGTCCTCAGCTCTTTGCTAGTGAGGTAGGCTCCAACGACGATGCTCAGCTGTTCTCGCGCCGCCAGAGGGTTGTTTCAGAGGTGGATCAGGAAAACAAGGTTTCAGAAATTAGCTCTAAACCCAACGCAATACTAAAAACTTTGAAGAAGCCCCTAACATCGAAAAGGGACAAAGAAGAGACAATTAGTGAGAAAATAGAAGCATCTAAACGGCTACCCAGTGCACGCCTGCGCAACAGATCCAAGTCCTTTTATATGGAGCGACCGATAGACATAGATGACACCCTTGATTCTAAAGATATCAATGAAAAGCAGGTAGACATTAGGTCAAAGCAGGGAATGAAACCCATTGAAAAGGTTGAAGATTGCCGCGAAGAGTTGGTGGTAACTCTGCATGCTCCTGAGGAACCAAAGAAGAATATTTCAATTAAAAAAACTAAGTTGAACTCATCTTTCACCCGCCTAAAATGCAAGACAATCCAATCCGGTGAAGATGGCGATGGAAAGGCTAAGGAACCTAAAAAAAATGGAAAAAGGATATCTCCAAAAAAACAAGATCAAGACGAACCTGCTAAGGCTCCTCCAACTCCGTCAAGAAATCGAAGTGCTCGCTTACTTAACCGATCGCGTTCCTGCTATATGGAGCGGCCAATCGACATAAATGAATACCTCGGCAGTAAAAATACAAATGAAAATAAAAAACAAAATGAAACAAGAGAAACTCGGACTAGGAAGCGCCAAAAATCAATCGAAAAAGATTGCGACGCTCCAAAAGAGAAACAGAAGTCACCATTTAAGAAATCCGAGGGGAAAAAGACTAAAAATTCTAATCAAGAAATGAAAGACAAAGCTAAGGTTCCCAAGAATAATGGAAATACCGTAACACCAAGAAAAGAATACACTGTTGAAGACGTGACTCCAGTCAAGAAGGGCCTAAGCCCTCGGTTACTAAACCGATCAAATTCATGTTATATAGATCCCACGGATAATTTTACTCAGACTAGGGAGAATTTGGCGGCCCATACCGATCGCGGTCCTTCCATAATCGAGGCTCCATTTATGTCAAAAAATCGGTGCAAAGCTAACAATAAGGATAAGCAGAAGGTGATCGATCGTCAGCGCTTCGTTGATTACCAAACCGAAATGAACGCCAAGTGGTACCAGAAACCGAAGGATACAAAAAAGGACGACGAAGTGATCAAGGAGAAACGACGAGAGGCGTTGAAGAAGCTCTCTGATAAACCCAAAGATGAGGAGAATAAGCCCTCCACCTCGATAGCAAGCAAAAGGAAGAACTGCACCAGTGTGCCCACTGTCAGCAACACAAATCGCGGGGAATTCCTCACCAAAGGGATCGAAAGTGGTCCTCCAGCCAAAATATCAAAGAAGGCAGCGCCGGCGAAGAATTCGACTCCTAAGCGACGCTGCACCATTGACGATCCGTCGCAGCGGCCCTCTACAGCGGACGATCTAGCCAAATATCCAGAACCTCATTGCTCCCGTCCGCCAGAACGCAAGGAGGCGCAGCAGGCTAGGAATCAACGAACTTGTAATCGCGTTAACTTTGCTGATATGGAACGTTACCGCGAAAGAGTCGAAAAAGCAAAGCAAACAGAAAAGAAGCGAAGACACGTTCGTTTCGGTGATGAAGAGGAAATTAGATATATCGATAAGGTCAGTGGAGCCAATAAGCCGGTGCGGAAAAGCAAGGATACTTTGAGGATTTGCCTCAGCACGTATATCGAGCGTCGCGACTGGACACTCAAGGGGAAAAATATGGTGAATGACATCCTCTACCACAAGCGGACTATCCTCACATGGGCCAATCAGTGGCTGAAGCATGGCACCGTGGACGCTGTAGCCAAATCGGATGTTTTGATGCCCATTCCCCCCGACTTTAGCGGCTTCCAACATTACAGGAAGTAAGTTTAATAATGGCTTTTAGAATCATCACTTATATTTCTTATATTTTGTGAAAGAATTTTCTTGCCGTTGATGAAACTGGACTTGCTTTCCACCATCGAAAGACACTACAAGAACTTAGATACTACGATTGATTTCGAAGTGACTGACGTTAAGTCAGAGAAAGAATACTACCGCATCTCGGCCAAAAGTAAGTGACTGTATATTGGGAATAATAATAAAAACAATAATCATATCAATACCTTTTATTCTTCTTTATTTGACAGCGAACGCCAGACCCATTGCAAAATTCGAACTATACACCCTTTCTAGTGATACCGAATTGCCTGAGACCTTTGCCAGTCCTTTGGAAAACACCGTTAATGGTAAGTCTTGAGAACACGATTGGATCATTCCCCAAGTATCACCATTTAAACCCTTAGGAAGCGTTTGTTTCATGACATTCGAGATTATGATGCAAATATCCTTCGAGAAGATGAAAAGCCTTAAAAAGTTGACTGTCCGTCCAGTGGTGGATAGCCTCCGAGTGGAATTGGGTGCTCTAAGTGCTATCCAACAGCTTCACCGATCGCCTCTCAGCAGGCGGATTTTGATGCCCACTGAGGCGGTGAAGACTCTGCCACTACCAAAGGTGGCACAGGCGTTCGCGTACACGGGATTTACTAAGCTTAACAAGCATCAGGAGGATATTTGCCTGCGAATCTATAAGAGAGTGATGGACAATGAAAATCCAAGTGTGACCCTAGTACAGGGTCCTCCTGGCACTGGTAAATCTATACTTCTGTCAAATCTCAGTCTGCAGTGTCTATATGGAAAGGCCTCTGTAACGTTGGACCGCAAGTTATTAATCTGTGCCCATTCTAACACGGCCGTGGACCACTTGGTGAAAGCTTTAAGTAAAGCACTTTTTCTTATGAGCCACGACCACTTCCACCTCTTGCGATTTGGGATGACAGAAAAAATGAGTGAACATTCGCGCCAGTTCTCCGTTTCTCCACATTTAAAAAAAGCCAGCTTAAAAAAGCTGAATCGTCTAACTCCAGAAAACATTGATTTCTTGATGAAGCAGCAACGCGAATTGAGTGGCGAGATCCAGCAGCTGAGGCAGAACTCAAATCTGATGACCACTTATCTTCAGCAACAGTTGGAACAGAAGCAGAAGCAGCTTTTGCTGATCAGCGAGCAACTCAATCCACCGCTGACGCAACGTGAAGAGTATGACATTACCAAGATGTGTGTCAAGCGGGCCCACATTGTCTGCACGACGCTCTCATCGTGTGTTAGGCTGGCCAATTACGTGGACTTCTTCGACATCTGCATCATCGACGAGGCCACTCAGTGCACGGAGCTCTGGACGCTTCTTCCTATGAGATTTGGTATAAAACACCTCGTCCTGGCAGGAGATACACAGCAGAAACCGGCGGTGGTGCTGTCCAAGAAGGCCACTGACTTGGGGCTTGGTAACTCCATGTTCGACAGGATTCAAAAGAGTCTTATGAAGCACCTCAATCTGGATCAACCGGGAGGCAATCGGCTTGTGCACACCAAACTTTTTAAGCTAAGCATGCAGTATCGTATGCACCCAGAGATTTGCAGGTGGCCCAACAAGTACTTCTATGAGGATCAACTGGTGAGTGCGGATATAACCACAAAGCCCTCGCCGTTAATACCCTACTGCGTGGTCAATTTGAGCTATACTCGGGACACCGGTGGCAGCAGTGAAAATTGGAGTATTAGAAACGACGAGGAGGCTCGTTTTGTGTCTCAATTGCTGGCAGAGATGGACAAGCACATGCCCATCGAGCACTACAGTTACGGCTTGATATCGCCGTATAGTAATCAGTGCCACGCCCTAAGCCATGTAATTCCTCGCCACATGAACTTGACACCACAGACTGTGGACTCGTACCAGGGATTGGAGAAGGACGTGATCATCATCTCAAACGCACGGACACGCGCCGGCGGGTTTCTCGCGAACAATCAGCGACTCAATGTGGCGCTGACAAGGGCGAAACGATGCCTGATTATATGTGGCAACTTTTATAATCTCCAGGTGAGTAAGCAGGAAGATCAGGATACAAATGTGTTGTTTTTATAATGCTTTTCTTTCTTTGTTCAGTCTGTTGATATGTGGCGACAGTTGCTTGACGATGCCCGCCAGCGTAAAGTTTACTTCGACTTGAAACGCGACGAAGTAAATGACTTGCAGCGCTCCCTGATGCAGAAGCTCCTCGTGAAACCATTGTGATTGGCGAAAGTTCGTAGCTAAGGAAAAATATATTTCCTTTTTGTAAGTTCTAGATCTAGGGCATATCACCCTTAGTTGCCTTTTTAAACTAAGTTTGTTATTATTTATCTTGCAATTTAGGTACTTTATTTATTGTTCATACATCAATAGTGCCTTAAAGACATGAAGTTTGTTATTGGAAATCTATCTGCATGTATTTGGGCAAATGAAATCGTAGAATAGCGTTTCTATTTAAGAAAAATATGTATATACTAATGTAAAACTTTAAAACATACTATGTTTGCAAAACCACCGATCTTCTACTGATTTTAACATTTTTATAATAAATCTATACTACTTGGATAAAACTTGTTTCGTTATTTTATAATTGTATAAGTAGTGTTTATTGGTATATGTTGAAAAACAAAAATATAATGCATGCAAGTAAATTCATGAAATTTGCAGGGAAGTCCGGAAAACTAATTCCGTTTTTGAAGGAGTACATGTGATAACAGTTTAACGGCATTTTAATAGTGGGCGGTATAACACTTTAACAAGGTCGAATAGTGTCCGAAAATACCGAACATATTTTCCAGTATTTTTGCAAACGCGCTTTGGTAATTTGTAAGTTGACACGGCGGGCACACATTATAATCCCCGCAATTTGTTTTTTATTATTTCAAAGAGAAATAAGATTGTTTCGCCGGGAAGGGCGACTCGGTTCGCCATAATGGCCAGCCGCTGGTACTTAGAGCATGTGACCACACGCGAACGTATCGACCTCAACGAGGGGGAGAACTTAATGGGTCGACATTCCTGCTGCAGGATTATTTTAGGTCACATTTATGAGTTTGTGTCCCGGGAGCATGTAAATATAATTGTGAGCGATGCCGGTGTGATAGTACAGGAGATGGTGAGTCTTTGTTCCACTGATCAACTTGTATATGGTCTAATCTGAGTCATTTACTCAGAACTCCAGGAACGGCGTCTTCATCAATGAGCAGCGGATGAGCGGGGAGTTCAGACGCATGCCGGTTGTAGAGGGCACCACCATTAGCTTGGGAGTAGAAGGGCACTACACTGACATTCCGCGCACTTACCCGATCTTCGTGCTGCGGAAAGTGGCTACCGAGGCGGAGGAGATAGTGCTGTTATCCGACGACGATGACGATACCCAGCCGCTGCCTGCGCAAACAACTATTAATGGCACTCTGGCTAAAGAATTCAATCTTGGTAAGATTTCCCTGGACTTGGATGAAAAGATGGGTGCTACAGACCAGGAGGGGCAACACTCCAGTACCAACTTGCACCTGCCCAAGATTCCCGAGGTAAAGCAGGAGCTGGTGAGCAGAACCACGAAGGAGATCAGAGACATATTCGGCGAAGCGGATGACGCTATTCTTGGTAGCGTAGTGGATATTAATCCATATCTGTACAACCAGTTGAACAAGATATCTGGTGGCACTGCTCCTGCGAGCGCCAAAATCCATGACGGCGACGTAATAGAACTGGATACGGATACTAATAAGGAGGAGATGCAGCCACCACCTCCACCAGAGCCGCTTGAACTCATTGACGATGAGTACGACGAGCAGTTTGCCATGTCGCAAGCCGTGCTGCAGGAGATGAAGGCCGAGTTGGCCTCTAGCGACGACGAGGAAGATTTTGTATCGTTTGAAAACATACAAGATGAAGAGCGGCTAGGTTCGCCTTCGTCTCAAGTTAGCTACGATGATATCATTATCGTCGAGAGCGACGACGATGAGCTGTATGACAAGGTGGCCGACTGGTCGAACAAACTCCTTAGCCAAAAGGTTCCAGACGTCATCGCAATGTCGCAAGCATATCCGGTGATGGAGGACTCGAGCTCGGATCAGGAGAACGAGTCGCTCTTTGAAATGAAGCCACCGATAAGGTCACTCCGCATTGATAGCTCCAGCGAGGATGAATCCAGTGACCTTGTTCTGTGTAATGGTAAATATACTAAGTGGAATTTAACAATAATTTACATATACGAATGAAAGTATATATTTCAGTTCCAATTTAAAATGAAAGAATTATCTTTAAATATTTAAACAAAGTATTCTCCTAATCCTTATCCACAGCAGAAAGCAGAACAAAAGACCCTCCCTTCATAGATACAGATGAAACTCTGAAAAGAGATAAACCAGAACAGCAGGACGAAAATTGGGATTGCCGCGAAGAGTTGGTGGTAACTCTGCATGCTCCTGAGGAACCAAAGAATATATCAATTGAAAAAACTGAGAGGAACTTATCTTTCACCCGGTTAAAAAGCAAGACAATCCAATCCGGTGAGGATGGCGATGGAAAGGCTATGGAACCTCAAAATAAAGTGAAAAGGATAACCCCGAAAGAACAAGATCAAGACGAATCTGCTAAGGTTCCAGAAACTCCGTCAAAAACCCGAAGCGCTAGGTTACTAAACCGATCGCGTTCCTGCTATATTGAGCGGGCAATAGAGTTGGATGAAGCCCTGATCAGCAAACAAGTAAATTACGATATAAAAGAAAAGCAAAACGAATCTCTGTCTAGGAAGGGCCACGTTACCAAGAAGTACGAGGAAAACAAATCAAATAAGACAATTCCTTCTCATGAAGGAATTGAAGAAAAAGCTAAGCCACCCAAAAATAGCAATAGCGTTACACCAAGAAAAGAGGACACAGTTGAAAGTGTAACTCAAATAAAGGGCAGAAGCCCTCGGTTACTAAACCGATCAAAATCATGTTATATAGATCCCACGGATAATATGCTTAGGACTAAGGAGAATTTGCCAGGCCATAGCAATGCTACCACGAGAGCTGAGATCACCAAGGATACCAGATTTACTCGCGGGCCTTCCATAATAGAGGCTCCATTCATGTTAAAAAATCGGTGCAAGGTTAACAAGGATAAGCAGAAGGTTATCGATCGCCAGCGCTTCGTTGATTACCAAGCCGAAATGAACGCCAAGTGGTACCAGAAACCGAAGGATAAAAAAAAGGACGACGTTGTGATCAAGGAGAAACGACGAGAGGCTTTGAAGAAGCTCTCTGATAAACCCAAAGATGAGGAGAATAAGCCCTCCACCTCGAAAGCAAGCAAAAGAAAGAATTGCACCAGTGTGCCCACTGTCAGCAACTCAAATCGCGGGGAATTCCTCACCAAAGGGATCGAAAGTGGTCCTCCAGCCAAAATATCAAAGAAGGCAGCGCCGGCGAAGAATTCGACTCCCAAGCGACGCTCCACCATTGACGATCCGTCGCAGCGGCCCTCTACAGCGGACGATCTAGCCAAATATCCAGAACCTCATTGCTCCCGTCCGCCAGAACGCAAGGAGGCGCAGGAGGCTAGGAATCAACGAACTTGTAATCGCGTCAACTTTGCTGATATGGAACGTGAAAGCAAGATGAAGAAACAGCAAAGGCGCGTCCGTTTCTGCGACAAAGTCAAGATTAAATATATTGATAATATAAGTGGGGCCCGTAAGCCCGTGCGGAAAAGGAAGGATACCTTGAAGATCTGCCTTAGCACGTATAGCGAGAGACGCGAATGGACCCTTAAGGGGAACCATATGGTGAACGACATTCCCTTTCAAAAGCAGACTATCCTTACATGGGCCAATCAGTGGCTGAAGCATGGCACTGTGGATGCTGTAGCTGAAACGGATGTCCTGATGCCTATTCCCACCGACTTTAGCGGCTTCCAACATTACAAGAAGTAAGTTAAAAGGTGGCTTGGGAAGAGAATCATTTACTAATATAATATTAACAGGACTTTTTTGCCGCTGATGAGACTAGAGATGCTGACCACTATCGAAAGAGACTACAAGAGCTCGAAGATAACACTTGATCTTAAGGTGATTGCAGTATATTCCGAGAAAGAGTGCTACCACTTAGTGGCCAGAAGTAAGTTGAAAAGTATTAACAAACAAAAGCGGTGTCAAGAAAGAGATAGTCGAAGGCATTCAAGGCGTTATTAGCCGCCCTCGCATATGCGCTGGCTAAGTGAAGCTCTTATCTGAAAAGAACTTTTTGTTTATCAATCAATCACATAATCCAGGAAATATCCCCACTCTATAGCTAACTGTGTCAATACTCTCCTATCTATCTGCACTTCACAGCTAAGACCAAACCCATTGGAAAGTTCGACCTTTACACTCTTTCCAGTGGCCACGAACTGTCCGAAACCTTCGCCCTGCTGTTGGCCCAAAAGACTGTCGGTGGTAAGTGCTAAAATTAAATTAATTAAATTAAATTAATTTTTTCATTGACCATTTACCCTCCAGGCAGCGCTTGGGACCTGACCTTCCAAATTTGTGCACAGGTATCCTTGGACATGATGAAAAGGCTGCAGCAGTTAATTGCTCGTCCGGTGGTAGATAGCCTCCGAGTGGAATTGGGAGCTTTGAGCGCTATTCATCAGCTTCACCGTTCGCCACTCTGCAGACGAATCTTGATGCCCACTGAGGCGGTAAAAACTGTACAAATACCATCTATGGCACAGGCGCTTGCCTACAAGGGATTTAGCCCACTTAACAAGGATCAGGAGGATATTTGTCTCCGCGTCTATGAGAGAGTAATCGACGACATGAACCCAAGCTTGACCCTAGTACAGGGTCCTCCTGGCACTGGTAAATCCATACTTCTGTCAAATCTCAGTCTGCAGTGTCTATATGGAAGGGCCTCTGTTATGCTGGACCGCAAGTTATTAATATGTGCCCATTCTAACACGGCCGTGGATCATTTGGTGAAAGCTTTAAGTAAAGCACTTTTTGCCATGAGCCATGACCACTTCCAGCTTCTGCGATTCGGGATGAACGAAAAAATTAACGAAAACTCAAAACAGTTTTCGGTTTCTGCGCATTTAAAAAAAGCCAAGAATGATAAGCTGAAGCGTCTAGCTCCAGAGATCATCGAAATGTTAAAGAAGCAGCACTGTGAATTGAGTGGCGAGATCCAGCAGCTGAGGCAGAACTCAAATCTGATGTCCACTTATCTTCACCAGCAGTTGGAACAGAAGCAGAAGCAGCTTTTGCTGATCAGCGACCAACTCAATCCACCGCTGACGCAACGTGAGGAGTATGACATTACCAAGATGTGTGTAAAGCGAGCTCACATTGTCTGCACGACGCTCTCATCATGTGTTAAGCTGGCCAATTACGTGGACTTCTTCGACATCTGCATCATCGACGAGGCCACTCAGTGCACGGAGCCCTGGACGCTTCTTCCCATGAGATTTGGTATAAAACACCTCGTTCTGGTTGGAGATACACAGCAGCTACCGGCGGTAGTGCTGTCCAAGAAGGCCACTGACTTGGGGCTCGGTAACTCCATGTTCGACAGGATTCAGAAGAGCCTGGTGAAGCACCTCAATCTGGATCAACCAGGAGGCATTGTGCACACCAAACTTTTTAAGTTAACCATGCAGTATCGCATGCACCCAGAGATCTGCCGGTGGCCCAACAAATACTTCTATGAGGATAAACTAGTGAGTGCGGATACAACCGCAAAGTCTTCGCCGCTTATCCCCTACTGCGTGGTGAATCTGAGCTACACTCGAGACACCGGTGGTACCAGTGGGAATAAGAGCATAAGCAACGACGAGGAGGCTCGTTTCGTGGCTCAATTGCTGGCTGAGATGGACAAGCATATGCCCAGCAATCGTTTTAGTTACGGTTTGATCTCGCCGTACAGCAATCAGTGCCACGTCCTTAGCCAGGTAATTCCACGCCATATGAAGTTGACGCCGAAAACTGTGGACTCGTACCAGGGGTTGGAGAAGGACGTGATTATAATCTCTAATGCACGGACACGCGGCTGTGGCTTTCTGGCCCACTATCAGCGACTCAATGTGGCTCTGACAAGGCCGAAGCGATGCCTGATTATATGTGGAAACTTTGATGATCTGCAGGTGAGTGATCTGTTAGATCTGGATACATATGTGTTGTTTTTATAATGATTTTCTTTCTTTGTTCAGTCTGTTGATATGTGGCGACAGTTGCTTGACGATGCCCGCCAGCGTAAAGTTTACTTCGACTTGAAGCGCGATGAAGTAAACGATTTGCAGCGCTCCCTGATGCAGAAGCTCCTTGTGAAACCATTGTGATTGCCCATGATTCCTTAATAGGAAACTATACCCTTATGATAATTATTAGATTTAAGAACACGTCACTTCGTGTACCTTCGTTTTTGAATAAAATTAATTGTTTTTTGTAATTTTCCTTACATTCATTCATATTATTTATTTTTAACACATTGATAGAGAATTAAAGAATTGAAGTTTGTTCATTGAAAACTTTGTACACCTAGTTAATAAAGGGATTAGACCAGCATGTGCATTTTAAACCCATTCGCGATTATGACCACACTACTTAATATATTCTTAACACGACCTGATCTTGCTTAATAACATTTTCACAAATAGTAAATGCCTGCGGGGTCTCTGTTTTTCTTTTATTTTCTTTTGACACAAATTACTTCGTAAAATATTTCTGGTTTGGTTTTAATTGGTTTTCATTTGAAAACATTCATATTTACTAAGTGGGAAAACTGAAGGGATTTCGAGTTTTGAATTTATTTTAATGGGAGTAAATCCCATTCACTAAAAATGAAATTAAGCATCCTCAGTTCGCTTCCTACTTTGCAAATTTTGCACTTGGTCTAATCCTTTTCAAACACCATCAACTTGCATTTCATTTTGTAAATGCTTTAAAGATCGTAATATATCAGGTTATATATTATCTATTTTGTGAGTTCAGGATGGATGATTTTAATGTTATATACCAAAAGAAGGAAATAATAAATATTCAATAGGTTTAAATCAATTGTTTACATTCTACATATATATTGCACTATATAGAGTTACAGCTTTACGGAAATCTTCCCGAAATAACTTGATCGATTTTTTCTCATTTCACGTCCCTCTCTTTTAACCCAACTAAAATGCGCTTTAATTATGCTAATCTCCAGCTGCCGCTGCCTGATCATCTCTAAGTAATAGTAAGTAAATTCACTAACAACACGCACACACACACACACATAGTCTATATATTAAATTCATAGTTCTGTTTGCTTTGTCTTGCGTTGCCCCTCACTGCGGCATTAAAAAGTATGGAATCGCTTAACAACAAAGGTAAAGTCACGGATAATCCGATACTGAACTTGGTGCAAAAGTAAAGGAAGGATAAACTTAGGAAATAAATTTAAAATGTAGCAACAAAAATCTAGCTAAAAACTAATAACATAACAAAAATTATGCCCGTAATTAAGACTTATTTTATGCGGCTGCTAGAAGTGCGCTAGCCAGTATATGCTTACAGTTGTATATATCAAGTAGGTATATATATAAATTTCGATTTTATATATATGTAGAACGTACGACTAAAGCAAACATTTTGTCAGAATCTAATGGGTAGCCGCTGCAAAGGCTTAGGCTTAGGTTAGCATGTCGCCCAGGTTGTCCTTAAGCGACTGATAAATTTGGTATTGTTGATCAGGTTTGAGGTTGTAAATCTGCGTCAACAGCTTCGCCGGCGACGGAGTTCTGATGAAGCTCGAAATATAAACGTTGACAAAGGTGGCCATCAGAAACTGGCAGTCGAAGCGATCCATGATACCGCCATGTCCGGGAATCATGTCCCCAAAGTCCTGTCAACGACATATAGAGATAGTCATGATTAGAGAAAATTCAATTTGCTTGTGAAAACGAGCGTATTAACCTTGATTTTGAATGCTCTCTTAAATCCAGAGGCAAAGAAGCCGCCAAACGGTCCAATTATGGAGCTGAAGAGGCTCAATGAGATCGAGTGCCAGATGTAGGGGTAAAGACTTAGGGTTTTGCCAATGCCGAACTGAAAATTAATCACAAATATCCATGTATTGATTCTAATTATACAAAACAATTAAGACTACTTACCAGCTTAAGACTGTACTCCTGGGGGGTGAATAGATAGCTAGGTACACAGGACATCGTCATGCGGCCCAGTTCCTCCGAGTACTGGATGGGGCAAATGAAGTACTGGTAGTTGCACAGCACATAGGAAAACAGAATGCCAAAGACCACTGTGGCGAAGCCACCCCCAATGAAGCCCTCCCAGGTCTTCTTGGGGCTCAGCTTGATAAGGGGCGTGCGGCCGAAGAAGAACCCAAACACATACGCCATGACATCATTGCACACAATCATGGAGACAGGTACGATGAACCAAATTAGACCCTCGAATATGTTCTGAATGATGAGATAACTTTGGGTGACGACAATTAGCAGCGACACATGGGTCCAGGCAAACAGGCTAAACTGCTTAATGTAGTACTTCTTCACCAGCGAGAGGACGAACCAAACGAAGCCAATGATGTATAGGGCAAAGGACAGGAAGCGGTGATAGGTCACCAGGAACTTGAGGTACTCCTGTAAAAGAGAATAAATTGGATTAGTTCAGATGTTTCCTTGAAAATTGCATAAGGAAGGGACATTTACCACTCGGTTGATGACCACGCCAAAGTAGTCCACCAGGTTCTCGCCATAAAAGAAGTAGTTGGAGGTGAGAAGGAAGTACCAGGACAGACTGCGGAACCAGGGCAGGCCATGAATCCGATACACCTGGTAGCCAATCGATATGATCTCCTGAAAGCACTTAACCTGCACCAACAGTGTCTGTTTTGGAGAGAGTATAAAAAAGTAATTAGGTACTCGTTTCAGTCGATTCCTCATTTAACTACCCACCGTGATCATCAGGGCCAGTGGACCGCCATAAATGATCAGTGCAAAGCCGCATATCATAATCCATGTGAAAATGCCGCGGATGACCCAATTCTTCCATCTGTGGAATGAGCGTAAAATTATTGTTTGTTAATATATTGTGTATATATGTCTGTATTTGCTTGCCGCAAACTGCAGCCAGCTGTGGATGAAATATTTTTGGAAAGCTTACACATTCAAAATACTATACACACTCTTCTCTTAATTGAAAATTGTGTATAACTTATGGCCAAAATTTGTTTCTACTCATTGATTTTTTTATGTGAAACAATAAGTATGACTTCATTAATTATCCATGTTTTCTATACACTATCAATTTGGTTTATAAAGTAAATATGTTGCAGATCCTTTATTATATCGTTTCTACATATTTTGGAAATGGATCCTTTAACTATTAATATAATTACAAAATCTTTACAATTTTAATTAAGACAGCAAATCACTTTAAGGTTTGAAGTATTTGTTGAAATGAATAAAATTTTCGTTATATTCGAAATAACTAAAATTAAGAAATCATAGACTTTATCGTAGTTCAATCTATAATCCTATACCTAGGGAATTTTTTAATGAAAACACGTGAAATGTTGGAATTGTTTAAATTAAAAGCAGACTGGGTTGATTTGCAAAGCTATTCACTCACCGATCGGGCAAATCCTTGAGGGCCGAGTCCAGTAGTTCAGGTGTCTTGTCGGTGCCCTGCGGCAGGTTCTTGGCCAGCTCCTCCACAAACTTCTCCTCGGGAATCTTCTCCTCCTCGGAGTCCACCTGCGCAATAGGAAAGGGCGAAAGCGGGAATCGCAATAATTAGGGTGCGCATAAAGATTGGCTGTGAAATGTATTCCCGATCGGGTTGCAGGGTTTAAGCACTTTCTATTAGGCACGCTGTGCAAAGTCCAAGATACGTGTATGTATGTGGCTATATACCCATAATCAGAACCATTCGTTTATCCAAGGCGCACACACATGCACGAGGAAATGGGAAAGGGAATGAATTGCGGGCTTTTTCGGTGGCGTGTTTTGTTTGTTGCCAAATCGCGTCGTTGATAAGAGGACATGCGGGGCGGCGGAGGCCTCTTCTTATCACACAAAAAAACTTAGCCGGAACTATTGCAAAAAGAAAATAGAGAAAGAAGAAGGAGAAGGGTGGGTAATGGCCAATGCTTCCGTAATGCTTTCGTCCACTTAATTGGATTTGCTGGAAATAATGGCGCTATATTGCAACACAGCAGGTGGGCGGTGGGGGTGGCTGCCAATGTTATTGTGTTCTTGCAATGTTCTTGTTATTGGATTTTCTCCTGCTCTCTCTCGCTCTCCCCGACTCTCCGCCGCTCTCTCGTGCCCACCTGCTCGTGCGTCAGAGAATAACAAAAACACACGCACACACACCGACACACATATGCTGGTATACACACATTTAGCTTCGACTCCTATGTTTCTTCTGCGCTCCAAGAATTATGCAAATGGAGTAGCAACAATCGCTGCTGCTCCACATAGAAGTCATTGCCACTTACATGGTCCGAGGAGTCAGCGGCGGAGGAGTTGCGCTTGGCTGCCCCCGATCCTGATCCGGCAACGGCGGAGGAGTCCTCCAGAGTCTCCTCCTCCCCCTTCCTGCGGCGCACTTCGGTCATTATGTTCGATTTTCACCGCGCGGCGCTATTGATTTTCCCGTAACTGACTTGACCGCTTCGCTCAAATTCCGTGTTTCGCTTGCCGAGATCCGTGCCCCGTGAAAATGTTCACCAGCACTTTGTCCGTAAAAAATACAAATGTTCGACTTTTCTCTATTTCTGATTAGAACGCTGCTGGTAGTGTGACCAGTGGAGCTGGGGGCAAAGTGGCAGATGTATGTTTCACGCGTTATGGGATTATTTAGGCAGGCGACTGTGGTCATATTGCCGGCGGCGTCACTTGCCAAAAATTTTCGCGTCGCAAACATTTTCTGGAATCTTTTGAGTGAAAATACGAAGAAAGAAAAAGGATAAAAGAGGAAAATGGCAGCAGCTATCGATGGCGTTTTTCCGTACACTTTGCAGGAGCTTGTGAAGAAATCAAAAGTTCTAGTCGTGGGTGCTGGCGGCATCGGCTGCGAGGTGCTGAAAAACCTTGTGCTCAGCGGCTTCACAGACATCGAAATTGTATGTTTTTTTTTTTGCAAATGGAAGGTTTTTGATTTAATTGCTAATGTGATTAATGCCCACAGATCGACCTAGACACTATAGATTTGAGCAACCTCAATCGGCAGTTCCTTTTTCATCGGGAGCACGTTGGCAAGTCGAAAGCGCGGGTGGCAAGGGAGAGCGCCCTGAGCTTCAATCCAGATGCCAATATAACTGCTTACCACGATAGTGTAACGTCGTAGGTTTTTCTTACTTCATTTTCCGCAAATTGTAGATATATTTAAACCCCTTAATTCCAGAACCGACTACGGAGTCAACTTCTACAAGAAGTTTGATTTGGTGCTCAGTGCTTTGGACAACCGGGCCGCCCGTATCCATGTAAATCGCATGTGTCTGAATGCCGACGTTCCGCTGATCGAGAGCGGAACCGCCGGCTACAGCGGACAAGTGGAACTGATCAAACGCGGCCTCACTCAGTGCTATGAGTGCACTCCCAAAGAGAAGCAGCGCAGCTTTCCTGGCTGCACTATCCGCAACACGCCCTCGGAGCCGATTCACTGCATCGTCTGGGCCAAGCATCTGTTCAAGTGAGTACAGAATAAATATTCAGCACATCAGAAAACAGCATCTAACAAATTTTAAATTTTAGTCAACTCTTTGGTGAGTCTCTGGATGATGAGGATATTTCGCCCGATGCAGCTGATCCAGATGCCCAGGAGGCCGCAGTAAGTGCAGACAGTGATGGAGCTAGCGGAGATGCTACTCCAAAAGTGGTCGATAAGGAAGAAGAGAAGGAGCCTAAGGAAGACAAGGAGGATGATTTGGACAATGGCAATGTGGTGCGCATTAACACTCGTCAGTGGGCCAAGGAATGCAATTATGATGCTGGCACGCTGTTCAACAAGTTCTTTAACGAGGACATTAACTGCTTGCTCCAAATGGGGAATCTCTGGCTGACACGCAGGGCACCCGTTCCAGTCCAATGGGACACTCTACTGCCCGAGAGCAAGTCCGATGATAACCCTGAGATTGCCAAGCAGCATCACAAGGTCTGGACCCTTGAGGAATGTGCATCTGTCTTTGCCAGTGCGTTGAAGGATCTGAGTGCAAGTTTCCTGAAGCTGGAGGGTGATGATACGTTGTCTTGGGACAAGGACGACCAGCCTGCCATGGACTTCGTGGCCGCCTGTGCCAACGTACGCTCTTATATCTTCAATATTGAGCGCAAGTCGCGCTTCGAGATCAAGTCGATGGCGGGAAATATCATTCCGGCTATAGCCACTACCAATGCCATAACTGCCGGCATTTCCGTGCTACGCGCCTTCAATGTGTTGGAGGCCAAGTGGACTCAATGTATTACCGTTTATGCACGCCTTAGGCTGAATCCGCGTAACCAGTTCCTGGTACCAGATGCCTGTCTTCCCGGTCCCAATCCCGACTGCTCTGTGTGTTCGAAGGATCCGGCTATTACGCTGAAGATTGATACAAAGCGAATGACCATCCGGGAGCTGCGCGACGAGGTGCTAATCAAGACGCTCAATATGGTGAAACCTGATGTGGAGGTGCCCCTAACCAGCACCGTTTTGCTTTCCTCAGAAGAAGGGGAGACCGATGACATCGAGGGCAAGCTCCTAAGCGAGATGAACATCGTAGATGGTGTGATCCTTAAGGCCGACGACTTCTTCCAAAATTACGAGCTGCGGATTATAATCTCTCACTTTGATGCCGAGAGAGAGGATAATTTGTTCGAAGTGGTGGCGCAGGCCAAACAACTGCAGCCCAAAGAGGAGGAAAAGATTATTGAAAAGGAGGTGGAAAAAGAGGAGGAGAAGAAAGATTTAGATAAATCTGCGAAGAAGCGTTCGGCTAATGGTGCAGGAGATGCCACTGACGAGGGACCCTCCACATCGAAGCGCAGCAAGCCCACCGATGTGGATGTGGTAGACGACGATGACGACGACGATTGCCTGTTGATCGAGGAGGACGAGGATGAGGCAGAAACTGTGGCAGTCGCCACAGACAAGCTATCCGTGCAGAGTCCTCCAAAGTCCGGCACGAAACGCAAGCCCAGCGATGTGATCGACGATGACGATGAGGACATTACCGAGATTCTGGATTCCTCCGACGAGGAGCCAGCGGGACCCACCAAGTGCAAGCGTACCCGTTTGGATGAGTCTCTATCCAATCCCATAGAAGTCATCAATATCGATTAATCATTAAAACAAAAAAAACGCCGTGGATAATATCTCAACTGCAGTTTTAAAATGAAATACTTGTGTACATTTGCAACTATTAAAACGCTCACTTTGAAATTGAGTCGAATAATGAATAGTTGAGTGGATCCGCTCGAATGAAATGAATAACAAATGTTTTCTTTTTATAACAATAAAAAAATGAAATTAAAATAATCCAACCAGAGTCGTGGAAATTATTTTCTCAGTGGGGGTTAAATTCGAACAGCAGCCGCAACGGGAGGAAGGTTTACCTCCGAAATCCCCCTACATATGGCACTGTCGCGACCAGTGTTGGCTAACCCTCGAAGTCTGAGGGTGTTATCGGGACTATTTGGGTGGAAACACAACAAGGTAGGAGTTTCAACTTTGATTTTTGACCATTTCTCAATGAAAAACAATTTCTCAGATGTCCCTGGCCAGCAGAATATTACAACAAGGCTCCCGCCTTTGGAGCGGGCTAAGTGCGGCACGTGGTTTCCATGTTCTCGTGCGGCCGGCGGCGCCACCAAGTGCACCCATTGCAAGCACACAACTGATGACCGGTTCAGCTACGATCCAGCAAGGATCGGGACTTCTGACGCCTTGTTCGACGCTGCTTCAACAGGTGGCTGGGTTCAAAGTAAAGGGTCGGTTGAAGCGACGCTGCAAGGACTGCTATATCGTGGTGCGGCAGGAGCGCGGTTATGTCATATGTCCCACGCATCCGCGTCACAAGCAGATGGCGATGAAAAAGCGCGACTACAAGTCCTGGATCCTGACACATGCCACACAGTCCAAGGAGCGGGGTTTTTAGACCTATTTGCATAGTTAAAGGCGTGTTAAGAATAAAACAAAAATTAAATAAGACTTCCGAGCTGGTCCCTTTTGGCGTTTTCCAACACTTTGCTGTTGTTTATCTTTTTTCTGGAAGCCAGGGGACTTCAGTCGCTCTTGCCTTTTCTCCGGACGTCAGTGAAGTGTCACGGCTGAAGAAGCTACGTACGCCCCGAGATGACGACGCACTTCACCAACGTGCTGCGGCAGGCTTTCAAGACGTTCGACCGGGCCAACCATGCCAGCTTCAATGCCAACCTGCAACATCTGCGCCAGCTGACGGACGAGCTGACCCACCGGGACCTGCACCTTCGCGAGGAGCTCTTCCGGAACGTCGATGTCGGCGTCTCTGGCCGCCGAGCGCCGTGCAGCTATATGCACATCTTCGAGGACGAACACTTCTCCATGAGCCTATTCATTGTGCGCGAAAGAAGTGACATTCCGTTGCATGACCACCCCATGATGTTTGGCCTGCTGCGCTGCATTTGGGGGCAACTTCTTGTGCAGAGCTATTCGCAGCAGATGGGAGCGGACGACTCCCTTACATATGATCCACATCCTACGTTGGTCAAGGTGAACGCAGAGGAGCCCAACCTGGTCACGCCGGATAGCCCATGCGCCGTGCTGACGCCTAGGAGGAGGAACTACCATCAGATCACCCAGACCGGCAACGGAGGAGTATCTGCTTTTTTTGACATTCTTAGCCCGCCCTACGATGCGGATATGCCCGTGTATGGGCCACGCCAATGCCGCTTTTACAGCCCCAGAGCGGACGGTGGCCAGCTGCAGCTTCAATGCATCCCCTCGCCGGCCACCTACTACTGTGATGTGGTGGAGACGCCAGAGTCTGTGCTGGAGGCTGCATTCCAGTGCGCTGACGAGGCCTATAACGCCGCCAATGCCAGCGAGACGTAGTGAGTCTGCGTGTCTGCAGCCTAACCCTCCTATTTATTCGCCCATCACCCGTTGGCTGCCAAGCCAGCCAAGTACCTTCTGTGTTATTTAAATAAATTGCCTCTTTTTTTAAGTTCGCTCCGCTTTTACTACGGAATTCGTTGGATGTTAGTCTTCTTCTTCAGCTTGGTAGATGTTCTGGTTTCGTCGCTTCAACTTCTTCAGATTGGGACTACACGCCGTCACCGGAGCTGGTTCCTCCACTTTTGGCGCCTCTGTGATTTCCTCAGTCTCCTCCTCAGCCACCGTGTCCTCCGGCAGATCAATTACGTTTTCATCGATGGCATCTGTTGAAGTCGGCGCCGGCAGGGATAAATTTAATTTCCTTTTCGTTGGTGTGATCAAGGGCTCGCCGAGATCCTCCTCTGGCATCTTTCCGTCATAACTTTTTGAAAGCTGAACTGTAGATTCAGCAACTGGCAGATCTTTTCCATTAGCTAGCATAGCTAAGCATAATGGATCATCAATGCCAAGGGCAGCGCAAAATGTGTTGCTTTGTGGATTCAGGTGGGCTTTTGGTTGACCAACTGCCATGCTTTTGTAGTTGGACTGCTCTTCGGGATCGTAGGCTGGAACAGTGCGCTCAAAGTTCTCTGGCACCTGCAGATTCTGGAATTTCGTCGTAACTGCTTCCAGCTCCTCTTCGGTGGGTGTAAAGTTGAAGCGCTCTGTGACCGCCCCCGCTTTCTTTCCCGGCAGATAGTAGTAGTTCTCCTTCACAGAAACCAAATGGTTAGTGCTGTGCAAAATGGCCAGCCATTCCGAGTCATATTGAAGCCGGGGATTGCCCTCAATTGGGTCGCTCGGTATCTCCACTACTTGCAGGAAACCACGACGCGGTAGGCACTTATCCAAAGCCAGGAATTTTGTGACAGGTACGGGTTTCGATGGTGGGGGTGTGGGAGCTGCTTTCTCGTCATCTTCATCCTCACTGCTGCTGGAGGAGGAGGAGGACGCGGCTCCGTCATCTTTTCGCTTCTGGCACGGATTGTGCGGTACCAGGGCAGCAAACTTGCAGTGCAGATGGGCGGCGAACCAGTAGGCTGGCTGTACCGCCTTTAGTAGCTCCTCCAACGGACGACTGCCCAGCTGACCACTTTCCATGTCCGCTGCAAAGAAGGGTTTCCGCCGCAGAAGCTGCGCCTTGTTACCATACTCATAGATGCCGGTGGGCCAATCGTGCGATAGAAAGATGTCTACCCGACCAGACAGCTGCTTCAGCCGGAACACCTCCAACTGTCGCACATGGTAAACACTACGGCATGTCGCCTCCGAGTAGGGCGGAAATTCGTGGTGACCACGCAGAAAGTCATGTCCCTTAAAAATGCCACTTATGCCTGCGATGCGCACTCCGTTCACGTTAACCACACCGGCGTATCCCAGATAATAGATGTTTGGAGCCACCCAGCCACCGTAGGGCAACTCTTGGAGGTAGTTTGAGGCTTCGTGATTGCCGCCAATGAAAATGGTCAGTACCGGCGCCACTTTCTCCCCGCTGTAGTACCTGTAGGGTAGGGATTATGACCAAGTGCCCAACGTCAGTCAATTAGCGTACTCACTTGTAGAAGGTACACATGTCCAAGTACTTCTTGGGCACCGCCATGGTCTGGAGGTCCTCCAGATTCCGCGTAGACTGGAAATCGCCGCAGCATAGCAGCAGGTCTATCTTGATACCGCTCTCCTTCTCGATGCCCTCGATAGTGTCGTAGATGCGCTCCAGTTCGCCATGTGCACAACCTTCAACCGCTATTTTCATGCTTTTAATATAACCTTGTTATAGTTTTGTTTTTAAATTCAAATCAACTTTACACTTCTTTTTGCAGAATTGCATTAGGCCGCTTACCAACACTAGTTGGCGTCATATTAAAAACAGCTGACTTATCGATTATCACAAGAAACAGTTCGAGTTATCGATTTGTTATACATTGAGCGCCAGCGTGGAGAATTTTAAAAAGGAATTCAAAAATTAAAATTCATTTAAAGCTTCTTGTTAAATACACATTATCTAATTCAAACGTTAAAAATGTTTTTTTTTATTTTTCAAAATATCGCTCCATTTAGTACAGTATATACGTGTATGTGTGTGTATAAAGAAAATGTTTGTGAAATGCTCTGCGTTGAATTCTCATTCTCTGACCGACTTGCCATCTTTTTTGGGGTTCTGTGGGGGGCGTGCGGGTGCGCACGAAATCTCATTTCATGAGACCTTCTCGTCCTCGACGTGTTTGTTTGTTTTCGTTTCGATTTGTTTACATACAAAGATTTACAATGGACTTTCGACTTATTGTTATCATAATTTAGTTGGCAGCCGAGCATGCCAAGAAGTAGGAAATAATAAAATATAAATCTACAATAAATATATAGTGCCGTCTGGACGCCGCCTGATCGGACCGGTCCGATTCAAGGCAGCGCAGCATGCATTGGTACACGGAGTGTACGAAAACCAGGAGAATGAATGCTTTAAAGCCATCATCAGCATGCAAGATGTGTTTTTTTCGATGTTACTTTTTTTTTGTTTGGAAAGAATATGAGAAACAATCAAGTCAGATCTAGTCAATTCAGTTACGAGCCGAACTTGAAGGACGAGGGCACGGCGGTCTGTGGAAGGCAAAGCCGCCCTGCTTCTCTATCAGTTTTGACTCCTTGGCAGCCTTGCGTTGGTCGGCGGTCACCACCACCTCTTGCAGCGCCTTGGCCTGCTCGGGGTGAGGTTTGAAGTGAGGAGCGCATACCAGGCCTGGTCCTGTGCGGAAAGTGCTGTGCGGCGAGACATGGAAAAGGGGGTTATTAGGAAAAGGCACAAAATTATTGTACGACATTTAAGCTTACCAGTAATAACTTCCTTGAACGTCCAGTACTCATCGATAGCCGTCTCGTTTTCCTCGTCATCGATGGGCGTTGTAAAAGACTCCAGGCCGGTTTCGTTCAGATCACCAATCGACTCTTCCGCCTCGCTGTCCGAGTCTGCATCTTCGTCCTTAATCTCGGCCTTGATCTCGAAGCCAGCAGCGTCGCCTTTCGTCTTGGTGAATTCAGCCAACTTGTCCAGATAGTCCGGTGCCATCTCATCCATGTCATCCTCGTCGCTAGACAAAGCCTCCTCGCAGTCATCGCCATCCTCCTCCTCTTCCTCTTCCTCCTCCTCCTGGGCCCTAGATTCATAGGCGCGCTTTAATCCATCGAAAAGCAAAATGAGGGCGGGCACAATCTTGCCGGCCACCTCGCTCAGCACCTGTGGCTTGGCTTCGCCCAGGGAAATGAGGGTACAGAGACCTAGGACACACAGCTTCCGATCGTGAATGCTAAGGGGTTAAATTATTAATTATATAATGCCTTAAAATAGTTTGCGATTCGGTTGCAATTACCCCAGGAAACAGTCAGTGTCATGAAGCCACTGCTTAATAAAGTGTGCGCTAATTGATTCGTTGTTCTGTTGCGACATCTTGTCCAGAATGGAAAGCAGCAACTGGGGATTGTAGTAGAGCGCCGCAATAACCACTTGCAGGCACATGGTGCGCAGCTCAGAGGACTGCACCTCGCGCGTTAGACGGGACAGGGCCAGTTCCACAAACAGATGAATCACGGAGTCAATCTGGCCCTTGCATTGCAGGATAATCACTTCCATCAGCTTGGCGGCATGACATTCGGGATCCTCGCCAGGATTGCTAGTGAGCATCTATGGGAATGTATATTTAGTGTTAATTAAGCTTAATATATTGTATTTAAACTTAGGCACCTACCGTCTTGCACATGTCTAGAATAGCCAAAAGCCTGTTTGGATTGGACAGAAAGGCCGGCGTGTCGACTGTCACATAGTTATGCAGCGCCGGCATAATATCAATGAAGTAGTCGATACCGTCCTTCTTGAACACCTGGTAGATCAGCTCCAGCATCTGCCACATCTCGGGCGAGATAGCCTTGGCCGTTAGATCGTAGACCAGCGAAAAGGTTTCCTCATAAAAGTCTAAAAAAATGAAACCAAACGATATTGAAGAGTCCAAACGGATTTTAAGCCGCTACCCATTAACTCACCCGTGATGTTGTGCTGGAAAATGTGTCCGACTACATTAATGACGATCGGATGCAGGTTAAGTAGGACTTCGGGATGCTCCTCCATTACACTAAGCAGAGTCTCGATTGTATTGAGCAGGCTCATGGCCGTGATGGCCTTCTCGTCCGAACCCTCTTCGGATTCAAGAACCTGACTAAAGGTAGTGGCCAGATGCTGGCAGATCTCGGTGGCGACCGGCAGCAGCTGCTCGGTGAAGGTGCACACGATCTTTTGCATCACATTCGTCAGATCCTCGTTCTCCGTCTCGCGGATGATGGTGAGCAGCTCCTTGGTGATCTCCTTGATTTGGCTCTCAACGTATTGCGGCGCCTCGTTCTGGGACGATAGGAACATCTGCAGGCCAATGGCCGCTTCCACCTTAACAGGCAGCTCCTTGTCGGTGAGCAGGGCGTTGGTGGTCAGCCGCATGATCTCAGCCAGCACCTGGGGATTCTTGATCTGCACGTCGCAGAAGTAATGCAGCACCCAACACGCACGCGCCCGCATATGTCCGGCAGAATTTTGGAATTCTGGGAACACGTATGTGGTCAGCATGGATTCAACTTGACCGCGGTACAGGGCCTTCTTCAGCAGTACGTCCGCCAGCGTTCCGATCATGTGCAAGGCACCATCCTTCTGCTTGTTGTCCGCATTCGGTGAGGTAATTATTTGCATAATTGTGGCCATGGCCTTGGGCAGGATACCCTTGCGCTTCTTGCAGATGGAATGCAGTAGGGATTGGGCAGCCGGCACTGGTGTGGCATAGTCCTCAAAGATGTCTGAAGGGAAGAATGGTAAAATAAACCACGCACATGAGATAGTAGGGAATTCTCACTTACCAAACTTAAGGCGAATGTACTCGTAGGGATCGCTCTCCCAGAGCTCCTGATCGGAGTCCGTGAATGACATAATGGGGAAGATCACATCCTGGATAACTGCCACCATATGGGGCTTAATGAGCTTCCAGGTATAGGCGTGGCTAACACTGCGGAAATACAAATGATTTAATTCAAATACTGAGAAAAACAATACACAAACTGTGTATGGGTAACTAATTTTAAATTTAGAGACAAATGATATTCATAAAACATCAATTTAGAGCTACTTACGCATTCTTCAAATAGTTGAGCACATCGGTGAGGACTCGCGGCGAAACGTAGACTCCGTTCCGGTACTGGTCAAGGATTTTCAATAGCACCTCCAGGACGCCCTGGCTGAACGTAGGCAGATACCATTCGCTGAATTTTTGGTACTTTTCACTAACCACATTTTGGGGACTTCCATAGCTGCAAACAGAATATTTAGATATATTTTGGTGTCGTTGTTCAAGGGCCAATAGGCGTGATCTTTACTCAACGCACCGCTCGAACATGCGGACCATGATGTGAAGGGCCCACTTTTTGGTCTTCCAGTAGGGGAACTCCGTTCGCTCGTCGTCATCGAGATGCGAGCTGTCGGGCACATCGCGATCGGCCACCTGACGGCAGACCTCCATCCATTGGGAGAAGATCTCCTTGGTGATGAGGTCTAGCGGCAGACTGAACTGCGTCAGGGCGTAGTAGATCTTTAGGATTTGCTTTTGCAATAGCACCGACTGCTCGGACTGCTCAGCCAGCAGGCGCACTATCAGCTGGTAAATCATAGGCAGTAGCAGATTCATTGCCTCGTTCAGCGGCGTTCGATCCTCACTGCGCTTGTACTCGTAAGTTTTTACCAGCTGGTACATGGTCACCAGGGCTCCGTTCCAGCCGTTAACATCCTGGTTTTGTAAGTAGATGCTGATGTTGTCTACCACCTGTGGCCAGCGTCCGGGGAAATCGTTCTTGATGATGTGATTTACGCAGACGGAAAGCTGAACCCTGTGCCACGGGGCGGAGAGAAGATCAAGTTGAGGCATGGGCATTTAGAGGCAATTCCCATTTTAAAGACTTACCTGATCAGTTCGGGAGCATGCACGATGGCGTCGACGATGGCACCGCGAATCATGGCCCTGTCCTGCTCGTGAATGGAGAAGGGTATGGGCTCGCCCGGCTTGGCCTCGTGGTCAGCCCAGCTGCTGTTGATCAAATTCTTGAGGTAGACAGCTCCCGCCTGGCGGACCGGCTGCTCCACAGTCGTCTGCATCACGATCTGCAGTATGGTGGGCACAAATCCAATGATTTTGTGTATCTGTGGGCGAAAGTATAATATGTATGGATTTGTTTACACAGCTGTTGTGATGAGTAATGGAGGATGGCCGCCAAGGGTTAGGCGTTTGATTTCAACCAAGAATCGATCGATGATGGCTGCCCATGGAAGCACTTTAAATTCTGTGCGCAGAGCTTGTTCAATTAATATGAGGCTGCTGCCGGCCATAAGCGCTGATAAAGTTAATTAACCCAAAGGGGCAGTGCTGGGAGGGGCATGCAAATCGTTAGATGCTGACTCAGTCGTAATGAGCATGCCTGCACAGTGGGGTCGAAGCAATTGTTTAATTTTCGTGGCTCTATCTAAGCCACCTCCTCTGATTGTATACGCCTTAGCTTCCGGAGGGATTGCATAAGCTTCAATTGCTGCGGTATTTTCCAATTTACAATCAGAGCTTTGCTTATTTATTCGCCATTAGATTCTTTTGAATAAAATTGAAACCACAGTGCCGCACTCATGTACACAGCTATTGCCTATCTGTACGTATTGCACAAAAATATACATATGTATGTGTGTACTTGTTGCCATATCCCGCCACTCGGGCAGGCCAAGGAGTTGGAGGTGGTCAGTGGTAAATACCTGAAGGGCAACCTTTTTGAGCGATATCAGCTTACACTATCCCCCAGTCCCCCACACAAACACCGCAGACGAGCCGCGCGAGGACGGACAGAGGGAGAGGTTAAAGCGAACAATTAAAAAGCACATGGTTTCGGGGCGATGGCGCCACCACCAAGTTCGTTCGAATCTTTTCGCCGGCGGGGCGGCGTCAGGAACAGGCACTCACCTGGGCCAGTTGATCCTCGGCGGCCTTGCGCTGCTCCGGATTTGGATCAATAGTTGCGCGCAACAGTTCCGTGAGTTTCTGTGCCTCCATTTTCGCGATTTGCGGTTCTGCTAATCCCACGTTTCGGCCGGTAGTTGCTGCTGCTGCTTGCGGACACGCGCTGCGCCCACTGTGCTACCCGCTGATGCCTGGTTGTCCTGTGCTCAAAGAGTTGCCGCTCTAGTGGCTCTAATGTGGGGGCGAAATCTGGAAAATCTCTGCTCCCTGCACCTGCACCAAAAACGTGGAAAAGGCACACACCGCCGAAGTTTGCAGCAATTGATATATATATATATATATATATATGGTCGATGCAGCCCTGAAGAGTGGGCAACGCGACCAAAACGTGAACAAGCGAATGGCACATCGACTGCAAGCTTTTCTATAGGCTTATCGTACGTGAACAAGTTTAACTGATTTACGTTTTAATAAATATATTATTTTATATAATGTTAGACTAAATAAATAAGTAATAGATATACAAAATAAATTTATTAGTTCACAATAATTTTGAATCGATTTTGAATCATTACATCGGTGTGCCGCTTTTTTTAAAAACATCGATAGTATCGATAGTGACATCTGTGATTTGCCAACTCTATAAATACGCTAAATATATATACAATTTTCAAGTCTTTGCTAAAACAGAAGCTATAGCTATATATAAACATAACTAAATTTTTAGTAATAGTTTTTAAAAAGCTAAAATTAGGCCACAATCGGTCCGAAAAATTACAATTTGGCAAATTTAAATGGCCATGGCATCGCAGTGGATGTCGCTTTCCTTTCTTCACATAATTTTACTTTCCAATTGGGAATAGAAACCGAAATGATTAACTCAAAACAAATCAATCGATGTTGAATAAATATCGGAAATATCGATAGTGAGATCGTTGATTTGCGAGCTCTAAGTGACACATCGTTGGGCGGAGTTGAAAATATATAAAAATCGTGTTTATCTGTGTTTGAAAGGCTATAAAACAGAAAGAAACCGCTTAAGAAGGTGATTAATCATAGCTAGATCGCAACCCAAGTGTTTTACTGACGGCAAGGCAATAGCAGAGCAGCAGCGAACATGGCAGGCAGGCTACCGGCGTGCGTAATCGATGTGGGCACCGGGTGAGTGGAGTGTTCAGCGGACTGCCTGCGGGGGTCTCTGCTTCCAATTGGAAGAAAAGAGGTCATCTGACTAATCCGATGTGCGTTTATACGTCTAGCTACTCCAAGTTGGGCTTCGCCGGCAACAAGGAGCCGCAGTTCATCATCCCCTCGGCTATTGCCATTAAGGAGTCTGCCCGAGTGGGCGACACCAACACACGGCGCATCACAAAAGGCATCGAAGACCTGGACTTTTTCATCGGCGACGAGGCTTTCGACGCCACCGGCTACTCAATCAAGGTATAAGCCCGCTGATTAGTCAGCCACTTGAGCTCGTCCAGGCCATTTTGTTTACTTTAATCATCGCTTTTCCCGCAGTACCCGGTTCGTCATGGTCTGGTGGAGGACTGGGACTTGATGGAGCGCTTTCTGGAGCAGTGCGTGTTCAAGTATCTGCGAGCCGAGCCCGAGGATCACTACTTCTTGCTAACTGAGCCACCGCTAAATACTCCGGAGAACCGCGAGTACACGGCGGAGATTATGTTTGAGACATTCAACGTTCCTGGTTTGTACATCGCCGTGCAGGCGGTGCTTGCCTTGGCCGCCAGTTGGGCCTCCCGATCCGCCGAGGAGCGCACACTTACGGGCATTGTGGTAGACAGCGGCGATGGAGTGACGCACGTCATACCAGTGGTAAATATCACCAAACCGATATCTTATCAGCAGCAGAGTTGGGTTTGCGGCGGGTAGAGAGTATGGTAGTGGGATAGTATGGTATTTGTATGAAAGTTAGGTGGGAGTTTTAATCAATCAAGTTTTAAATGGGTTACTGAAACATCTAAGCAACAACTTTTTTTTTACTTCAGGCCGAAGGCTACGTGATTGGATCCTGCATTAAGCACATCCCCATAGCGGGCCGCAACATCACCTCGTTTATCCAAAGCCTTCTGCGCGACCGAGAGGTGGGCATTCCGCCGGAACAGAGCCTTGAGACTGCCAAAGCGATTAAGGAGAAGCATTGCTACATCTGCCCCGATATTGCCAAAGAGTTTGCCAAGTATGACACGGAGCCGGGCAAGTGGGTGCGCAACTACACTGGCACCAACATGGTGACCAAGCAGCCGTTCAGTGTGGATGTCGGCCACGAGCGCTTCATGGGACCCGAGATCTTCTTCCATCCGGAGTTCTCAAACCCCGACTTTACCATTCCGCTTTCGGAAATCGTAGACAATGTCATCCAGAACTGCCCAATTGATGTGCGGCGACCGCTTTACAATAATATCGTGTTGAGCGGTGGATCCACAATGTTCAAGGACTTTGGCAGAAGGTTGCAGCGGGATATCAAGCGATCGGTGGACACACGCCTCAGGATCAGCGAAAATCTGTCAGAGGGACGCATTAAGGTGAGTGTTGCTACTCTGGAAAACTCTCCAGGCTCTGATTTGTAATGTTTTTCCTTTTAGCCAAAACCCATTGATGTCCAGGTGATTACGCATCACATGCAGCGGTATGCTGTGTGGTTTGGAGGCAGCATGTTGGCCTCAACGGTAGGTTATCTATCAGAATTATTTATGTGGCAAATTTGTACTTACTATTCTACTATTCTGCTCTTTCAGCCCGAGTTCTATCAGGTGTGTCACACAAAGGCTGCCTATGAGGAGTATGGTCCCAGCATTTGCCGTCACAATCCCGTTTTCGGCACCATGACATAATTGTACCGATCCAATCGGCCCGGCCTGCAGCAGTTATTGATTTATCTTCCCAATTTGAAATTTGATTATATGTATTCCATGCTAAAGTATTAGTAATGATTCTTTTCTATCCAATGTATGTTGTGTTTAGTTTTAGACTCTCTGTGTAAATTGATTTCGTTCTTTAATTTCGTGTGATTCTGTTAGAGATTCCTAAACAAACTCCGATGTCTGCCAGTTAAACTCAACTAATTAAGATGCATTTTATACCATACTCAACCACACAAACAATCACAATCACACTGAACTGAGCTCTTTGGAAATCCCCATACCCGCTCTATACACACACCATATACGGAAAGCTGTACTTGTCATAGTAATATTTATAATTGCAACAACTGCAGAAAACTGAATGAATGAAGAAAAGGAAGAAAACGGTAAGAAATATTGATGAGAAATCTGTTTGTTACATTGATAAGCGTAATTGAAAAGGCATTAAATAAATCAATAAAGCATTCTTTAAGCTTAAAACCAGTTTACCAAATATTTTATAATAACAAGATTTATAAGGCTCATAAAATTGGCTTGAGATCGCTCTCGCACTGGTTTTTGAAGAACATTTTAAAAGTAGTATGTCGTTAATCATCTTGTAATTTCGATAATTAAAGCTTCTAATGGAAAATTTTATTCAATGCATAGTGTTCGTAGGTTTCGTATGTGTTCAAATTGCTCTAATATATGTATATACCATAATATATATAGAAATTTTGTGACGGTGTCGCTTAGCTGAGGGAATAGCAAAAAGGTGGTTTCAAAAAGACATTTGTTCCATGCCACAACTTCGTTACGTTCAACGTAATAATTGACACCTGTGACTAGTCAACGTAGTCGCTGGAGCCCTTCTCCTCGTCGTTGCTACTGGAAGACTGTGCCGCCGCCGTCTCTGGGGACCGCAGATGCTCTGCAATCCGGAAATTCTGGAGGAAGTCGCGCATGGCATCCATCATCAGTGTCAGTGACTGCTGTAGACCAGCTTCTGCAATTTGTAAATACTCTTTAAGTATTTATTTATTTAATGTTACAATAAAACGCATTTGAAGGTTACTATGCCCCATTTTCTGTGATGAAACGTTGGTAAAGAAAACAAGATGAACATAAAAATACACGTTTATACGAACCTTCGGTTTCGCCATTCGCTGCCTGCCTGGCTGGTTCCACTGCCGCAGCAGCAGCAGCATCAGCGCCGGCCTCAGCGGCTGCTCCGGCGGCCGGAGCTGGGGCAACGCCTGCCTGGGGCTGTTGAGCAGCGGCTGCCAGATTGTTGACGTTGAACGATGGCAAGAGCGATTGGAAAAACATTGATACGGAATTGTTTGTGTTCGTTGTGGGACTGCTGCTCGACGAGGATTTTCTGTATAGAATTCAAATGTAATTATGCTATTGAGATCTATGTCGAGGTTCGACCTACCGTTGATAGCAGTTGACGCTGTTCGGCGGCGGCAGTGGGTCGTAGGTCATGATGGCTTGTTTCTCCTTCGCCACGAAAACGGCCAGAGGCACCTTTTCCTTGTAGTCGGAGAGTATCACATGCCGCAGAATGGGTCTAGGCGGAGTACCGCTATAGCGAAGTGATCGCTTCTCCTTATACTCGTTGACTACGGGATCCTTAGTCTCGATGCGATCGAGGACAACATTGACATTGGACTCTAGCCAGGGAAGCACTTCGTTCTGCCGCCAGACGACGCGAGCGCGGCATACATAAAGACACACCAACTGGTGCAGGGCGGGCGATTGACTGGATTAAATGGACAGAGTAAGATAACAGATTCCAATATTAAATCATCAAATGGTCATACTTTCCCGATACATCCGCAAAGAAGTAGGAGGAGGCCAGCACCCGCTTGTCGGTCTGCACGGACATCTCGTCAAGAAGCGGCCGCAGCACACCGGGGAACATGAGCAGGGCATACTGCAGTGCCTGGTTGGAGCGCTCGCAGACGCCATGGAGCGTGTACAGCGCCAGGGCGTACGAGTAAGCCATGTTGGGCAATTGGTTGAGGTTCCTGGCGGCATTGTACTCCTCGTAGAATTCCACCAGCCATCCAAACTGCTTGCTACGCAGGGCGTAGTAGTCAATAACCAAGATCATAGCCAGCGGATCCATGTCCGGCTGCAGACTCAACAGCAACTTGGAGATCTCGAATGCAGTCCGGCTGCAGGCACGCTCCTCCAGGTACTGCGCATGCTTAAACAGTACAATGTAGAAGGAGCGATTCTCCTGGCGGCGGTAGTCCAGTCGGCAGTTACCCGAGGTCAGACTGAAGTTAATATGCAACGACGACTCCAGCAATAGCAGGGCTCGCTCCAGCAGCTCGGAAGCCAGTGCAAAGTCCTCTGTCATCTTGCATACCTCGCTCAGCTGCACCAAGGAGTCCACATGATAGGGACAGCGCTTAATAAGCGTGATCAGGAATTCCGAATCGATGCGCTCCAAGGCAGAAAGAAACATGTGCTGCACTCCCTGGTAGTATTGGCTATGCTCGAAGGCGAACCACTGCACATCGCCGCCCCCGCTCCCGTTGTCCAGAATGGATTTTGTGGAAACTGAAGGCGAGTCGGGAGCGGGCAGCAGCTTCATCGTGATGGTGTTTTTGGTCAGCGGAGGCCAGGACTCCTTGGCCGTAACCATATATGTAGACTTGAGAGTAGGTTTTTGCCGACCACGCTTCGTTCTGAAAAATTACATTTTTAATAGGGGCTATAATGATTTTGCACTAAATTTCCCAAGGGAATTTCATTGGCTTTTGTCATTGGAGATAAGATAAGATTAATGGTCAGAACTTACTCCACTTTAACCACCCGCTTTCCGAAGGTGCGTCGCATCTCGTTCTGCGGATTCAGGTGCCGCAATTCAACACCCAGCAGCTTCTTGGTAGCCGAGCCTCCGGCGGCGGCCGCCTGCTTTGCCGATTGCTTGGGCACTGCATCGTACACCTTGCCCAGCAGTGGATCTACCTTTTCAAAGTACTTGTCCTGGCGCTCGTTGTCCTCGCTGCTGATGTGATTCCCGCTGGATCTGGCCTTCTTCTTGCGCTTCTTCTTCTTTTTCTTCTGGGCCGCAGCACTGGCATTGGGCAGCGCCGCAGACGGGTGCTCCGTCTCGTTGTCGTCCTCCTTGAACTCGCTCTCCGAGAGACTCAACCCGGGCTGGTTCAACTGGCATTATGAAAGAAATCGAATTAGCTCATGGCTAAGCGCGAGTGATGAGGTGGCTTAGCGGTAGGACACGTACCAGATCAAATGGATTTAGATGGGTCTTGCGGTCGCGCTGCATGTCGCTGTCCTCCAGTTCATCATTATCCGAAAGCTCCTCGTTGTCCTCATCCTCTGGCGGCGGCGCCAGTTTGTCGGCGTCGCCTTGCAGCTTCTTTAGCATTCGCGCAGACATCCTAATAGTCCTGGTATTTTCTTGGTGTCTGCCTGCGCCGTGCTTCTATTTATTTTCGTAGCAAATTTTCTGTGCTGGATTCTCATTCGGAACGGTGTTGGAAAGCGCCAGGATCGGTGGCAGCAGCAGTGCTGGGGAGCGTGTGCTTACACAATGTGGCGCTACACAGCACTAACAACGGAAACAGCTGAATTGCCGGCAATAGAAGAAGTTTGAAAATGTCTGGATACTTTTAATGTGTAAGATTTTGCTATTTTAGAAATAAATTCATGCAATTCGCCTGTTGTTTTCGGAAATTCTGAGGCTTTGGGGCTTTCTACTACATTTAAAATTTGTACTGTTCAGCCAAAAGCTATTTGTTATGTTTTTTAATAAAATGATTGATAGTTCGATGTTTAAATATGGTTTTCTATTTTCAGATAAGGTAAACTCATAACACGTTTGATATTTCAAGACTTGTTCCTTTAAATTGTTTTACAATATTGTGGAAATTTCCAAATGATTTCATTTTACAACAAATTCTAGGCCAAGTTGTATATATTAAAGGATTTTCGTTTCAGTTCACAAATCGTTTACAAATACAGTTTCCCATAATAGGCGCCAATAATGGCGGATATGATGGTGAAAATACAGGATGCAAACAAAAAGAAGTTCATTCCCGAATGCTTGGCACGACGCTTTTCGACCTGGTCGCGTAAAGTACTAACCTCAGTCTTGAGGAATGAGCGTTCCTCCTCTAGCATGCTGACTTGCTTAATTAGCTGTGCTACTGGCTCACTAACTTCCTCAGCATCGAACTCGATCTCTCCGTCTGGCTTGGGGTTCGATGTGTTAGTAGCGCCACCAGCCTGACGCATAATACCAGTCTCGTCCAACTGCTTCCGCTTGACTAACAAACACTTGATTTTGGCTTCCCAAATGTCGCTTTGTTTCTGCTTCGTCCAAAACTCCTGCGTGTCGATATCGCCGTCAGCGACAAAAGCTGCTTGGATGAGAAATTTGTGTTGCTTCTGGCCGGCATCTGGTGCAATGGGCTGCATAAAGACGTCCACGGTAACCTTCTCGTTGGGGCCCACAAACCCAATATTGGGGCGCACCAAGAACATGCGGGGCGAAGTGGTCTTTAGCTTAAAAATCACTTTCTGCTTCTTGCTGGGATTCCCAAGTACCAGGTTCTTACACACTGAACGGTTAAAAGGGCCTTCAAAGACGAGGGTCTCGCGAGGCTCGAGGGTTAGCATGGCCTGCGTCTTGTTGCTGCTCATTATAATGCTTTGGAAACCTACAAACAATGTCAATTAGTATGGGTCCAAATGATAAAGATCCAAGAAAACTAACAGAAATAAAGAAGATAATTCCAAAATGTAATTTTTCTCGGTACGCTTTTTCGCCCTGACGGAAGTGAACTGAGCAGCGCTTGCCTCGATAAGTCAAAGATGAATGTGTCCGCCATTTTTCGATAGTAATCGAAATTTACGTGTGTGTTAGTATTTTAAAATATTTCCACTGCACAGCATTTCAGAACAAAAATAGCTGTTTCCATTTAACTAAACTTTCGTACTATTTTATAATAATAACAGCTGTTTCTTGCTTATGTTTTACTTTCATCAACAATTCATGACTTACCGCAGTGGAGGGTACACGTCATTGCTTAATTCCTTCCAGTGTTCTTGCCTTTTTATGGTATAATCGATGTGAGCTTCTTCCTGGTTATCCAGATGTAGTGCATTGGTTAGGTGATATTGCTGGAGTCGATCAGGAAATCACTATCACAATAGATGTTAACACTGGAAGGGCCACGGACAGACTGAGGCGCGCCCGGCGGCAGCGCACTGTATTTATAGTCTCCGAGTAGAGAGCAGAGAAAGTGAGAGCGCGAGAGAGAGCTATCACTTGAGGTAGGCACACGTACCCCTAGAGATACACAGAGAGAGAGAGGTAGGCATACTAAAATAGGTAGCGTAAAGAGGCAGAGAGCGAGAGGGAGGGAGAGAGCAAGCTCTTCACTGCCATTACAATATTATACTATTCTCGGACCGGAAGCTAACTTCGGCACTCAGTTTTGTATTTTCGTCTACAAATTACAAAAACAAGCCTGGATTGCAGTCTGCTTTAATTGACAATAAATTTGTGTACAATTATTGGCCAAGCTCACAAGTAATGTTTGCCATAATATGCCCCAACAATGACGGCTATGATGGTAAAAACACAACAGGCAAATTTGATCATGTCCCTGCCCCGTTGCTTGGGTCGACGTCCCTGTTCCTGCAAGGTATCAATCTCCTCTTTGAGAGCCGAGTGCTCCTCCTCCAGCATGCTGGCTTGCTTGAGTAGATTGGCTGTGACCACAGACTCGTCATCTTGGTTGCTTGGAGAGACATTAGCACCGCCAACAGCTCGTCGTGGTTGCTCTTTCGATGCCTTCTCCGATACCTTTCCCGGAATAATCTCACACTTGATCTTGGCATCCCAGATGTCGCTCGGTTTCTGCTCCTTCCAAAACTCCTGCAGGTTGATATCGCTGCCGGAGGCTATGGCCGCCATGACTAGAAACTTGTGTCGCTTCTGGAGGTCATCCGATCCAGTGGGCTGCATGACAATGTTCACGGTGACGGTCTTGTCGGGCCCCAAAACCCCGACATTGGGGCGCACAAAGAACATGTGAGGCGAAGTGGTCTTCAGCTTAAAGGCCACACTCTGCTTCTTGGCGGGATTTTTGATGACCAGGTCTTTGGAGGAGGCACCTTCAAAGACGAGCTGATCTTGCGGTTCCAGGGACAGCATTATTATTCTTTTATTTTGTTTAAGAATCTAAATAAAGAATGTGAATTAGTACAGGTCCGAAAGGGAGGTGATAGAGGAAACTAACGGAGAAGAAAAATATAAAATTCCGAAGTTTAACGTTTTCAGTTTGTTTTTTTTTTGCTTTAACGGCCCAAAACAACTGAAGTTAGTAGAATAGCCGACTTTGCTTTATGTGGAACTATAGATCTTAATGTATAGATAATATAAGCTGATTTTATATTTTAATTCTAGCTTCGTTGCAACAAAATTTTAAAACATTAGTACATTATTCAGGAATTAAACTGTATATCGTACATTTTTACCTAGTACCTGTAGATAAGGAAAGGCTGTTAATTATTATGCTGTAACTACTAATCAATATATACGTCTAAAATCAGAAATAATGCCTTAATTTATTATAGCTTTAGCATGATTTTGAAAATTCCAAATATGTAACCACAAACTAACCCTTTATATCTGGAATATATTGTATAATTTACTTACTTAACAACTTTAGACCCACAAAGTTTTAAATGGTCCTTAATAATTAATATTCAGATATATAATTTAATAATTTTCTTTATTAAATATTTTGTCGTATTATTTTCCTTATTGTTTTCAGTATTTACAAAAATTCGATGAGTTTTCGTTGTTGAGTGTGCACTGTGTTCTCCACTACCAAAGATCATACGCCCGGCATTCGGGGAGGTGGCCTTGGACAGGATAATGCCCGACAGTTCCTCGTCGTCCGGTTCATTGCTGTGTCAAGTCAAGAGGAGGATTAAAATGGTTAACAGAACTCGGTTCGATAATGCAATTATATATACACGTTTATTTGTATTGATATTCGCTTCGTTGGTTTCTTTTTCTTTATCTTTATCATTATCTTTTTTGATTTGTTGATTGTTTTGTTTTGTTTTTTCTTGCAATAAATAACAATGAATGTTGGTTTGGTTGTCGAGACAGCGGATGCTGGGGATGCTGAGAGGGCATCGGGTTGTGATGCGATTTGAAGGATGGTGAGTTTGGTGGGGTGCAGTACAACAGGCACAACGATAACAACGGTTATGTTACAACGGATTGCGGTAGCCAGTATCGCTTTTACGGTCTATTAAATAGAATCCGACACAGGGTCCCGGATGATGGAGAGAGCAAGAGAGAGAGATATATAGAGAGGGAAGAGAAGAGAGATATATAAAATATATACAAATAATAAACAAATCGGGTTCCATTAGCGGGCACAAACACAAATTTTAAAGAACATAACACATAATAATAAAACATATAATCGGTATGGAGACATGCAGCTGATGATGAGGTATGAGAAGATTTCAGTTTATAAAGCAGGGGGAAATCGAGGGGCCATTTGGCAATAATACACAGTTTAATTTAATTAAGTCGCATTTTATTTTTTGATGTTGTCCTCTTTTTTTTATTTTTGCTTTTGTTTTTGTTTCGTTTTGTTTTTTGTATGTTTCGTTTTCAACTGTTTAGGCACTAGTTAAATATTAAAAATATATATTGCAAAAATCAATAAAATTATGCCTTAAAAACTCCTGCGCTAAAAATTAGGTTTTTTTGTACAGCATCTGTTGTTGTAAAAATGTATGCATTAAGTAAATTTCGATTATACGTAGTTTAAATATCACTTAAATATTTTCGTTTTAAGCCACACAATTGGGTTAATTTCAAACATTGCTGTTTCTAATTTACGCTTGCGGACGGTTACAAGAACAAATTGCATACGCGAGAAATGTACAAATTTTAAATATATTAATTATAAATAGCATATTAAATATATAAATTGTGTTTTTTGTTTCCTTTTTGTTTCGATTTCCAATGTATGTAACTTTTTTTGTTTCTTGTGGGATTTTTTAAATTAGTTTTGTGTTCTATAAATTAGGTTTCGTAGTTATGCAGTCGTTAATTGTTCTTGTTTTCCATAAATTAGTTTTTGTAGTTTAAATTCGCTTATTCTTTTGTAATTAAAAAAAGTATTGTTTTTCAAAATCAACAACTAATCACAAGGCAAATAGAGTTTTAAAGAGACAGAAAGGAGGGAGGCGCGGGCGTCGTTCTATTTTCGTTTTTTTTAGCCATTTTGGGCAACGCAGGCGAGTGCTTTAGTGGATGCTTGGCGTAACGAGTCGGATCAACGAGTGGCGAGTAAAATATAGCGAGCGAGTACCAACACCAGAGAGATAAAGATAAAAATGGACAGCGATGGGATATAGAGAGATAGAGGTATATAGGGGGTTTTGATTGGGAATCCAGGGGCTTATTGGACGGATGAGTGAGTGAGCAGGTGAGATTCTTTTTAGATGGCACAAATGCAGCGAGTGGCAAGTAACAGGTTAACAGGCATTTAGTGAGCGAGTAAAGTCACATTTTTCACGAACTGATTTCTCTGTGATCTAATATTTTGTTGAAGAATTTGTTTTTTGTTTATAAAAAACTAGACCGAATTGAAATCAGTTCGTGAAAATGTGACTGTAATTCAGTTGAAGCAGACAGCGAGTGACGGGCGACGAGTTGGGTCAGCGAGTCCTGGTCCTTCTCGTCCCATCGCCTCCTCGTTATGGCTTACTTTTTCATCAGCGAGCGGACCTTCTTCATCGTTCGATTGAAGATCGTCTTGTTGTTGCCGGTTCCCCCGGCACTGTAGTTGGAGCCGAGGGACGAATTGGAGGTCTTGTTGCTGGTCAAGCTGGCTCCCCGATGCACTGAGGCCGAGGCCCTCTGTTGATTGCCATGCCGCAGGCATCCATCCGACTGATCCTCCCGCTCGCTCTCCGTCGCACTCACTCCATCGGGACTCTGACGCTCCCTCGCTCTCTCCCTCGCCGGCTGCGGCGGTCGCTCTGGTGTGGGCGACTTGGATGAGGAGGAGGTATCCCTTCGCTGGGGTTGCGGCGTCATTGGAATGGCCAGGTTCTGCATACTCTGCGTACCCTCTGATGGTTCTCCAGGGGGAGGCAGTAGCTCTGCTAGAGTTTGCTTGCTGAGGATGTGGTCCAGACTTCGTGATTTCCTGTGCTGCTGCACGTTCGCCGGAGTGGCCAAGCTATGTTTGTCCCGTCGGGTCACCGGCTCGATGGCACCATCCGTTTCCTCCTCCTCCGGTTGCAGGGTGCACGTGGAACTGGCATTCGTTAGAGCTGTACTTCCCGCTGTGACCATTGCCGCTACGGCTGCTATCCTCTGCTCAGGAGTCGCTGTCACCGAGCCCGCCTGATCCAGCAATCCATCCACGCTGTGCGATCGATAGCCATTGCTCATCCCGGAACCGGATCCATGACCCAGTCCTGCCGCCGAGCTCCGCCTGGGAGGCAGATACGTCAACGGCGTCATGTTCTGCATGGAAGCCGAACCTGCTCCGGACTTGTGGAGCAGGGCGGCCTGCTGGGTCCGATAGGGGGGCAGGATCTGGGAGCGCTTCGAGGGAGCGCGCGAGTAGCCGCTCAGCTGCGAGGTGCTGCCACGTTGGCGGGCCGGCGAGGGGGATTGGCGGTACCTATTTGCCTGGTGATTAGCTGTGAGCGCGTGAGTCGGCGTTTCAAGCGATTTCGAGAGTGTGTGTGTGTGGCAACCAGAATTAAATCAATTATTAATTGGTAAGAGTAAAGAGTAATGGGTGGTGGTGAGTGTCGGGTGTCTAGTAAGGGATGAGTGGGTGAGTAGAGAGTTGAATGGGTAGAGAGTTGTACTAGAGAGTGTGTGTGACTTGAGGATCTCTGCTTAGGACTAAAACATAAGTATTCGAGTTGGCTTGCTCTGTAAATCTTTAGCTTATTAACTTCGCTCACTCTACGCTGGAGCCGCCGCCTGGGGACCCTGGCTCGGGCTTGGGCTTGGGCTTGAGCTTGAGCTTGGATTTGAGTTGGAGTTGGGAGTAGTAGTAGTAGTAGTTGTTGTACTCGTTGGCCCACCTTGTCCGCTGCCATTGGCCGTGGCCATTAGGCCATCCACCACACTGCCTGCGCCGCCTCCGCCGCCGCCACCACCTCCGGATCCTCCTGCTCCTCCACCTCCGACCGGGCCTCCAACACCGCCCTGGTAGTCGGAGTCGTTGCTGTGCATTCTTTGGTATGAGACCGAACCGGGCGTGCCGGGCACCATGGCCGCAATGCGATCGATATTCTTTTCGCCGCGCAAAAATCTGCCGCATCAGAAGAATGGGAATCGTTTAAGTTTCAGTATTTGAGTTGGTTATCTGGTTTATCAGGCTATCAGGTAATGGAGTACACCATCCTAGTCCCAGGCTAATCCAGGTCTAAATGCGTCGCTTAATATACCTTTCGAGCTTATCGATGCAGGCGTCCTGGTAGTCGTGGATCCAACTGACCCCGTTGAAATGCGCCACGCTGCGCATATCCTCCGGCAGTCGCTCCGCCTCCGGCCAAAGGAAGTTCTGGTCCATGATGGGTATAATGTTGCAGTTCGAGTTCAGGGCGGCCACGATTTCCTATGGATCGCAGAGTAGAGCAATCAATTGAGTAACATTTCAGGAGGAGGCCCTCTAAATTGAGGTCTACTCACACGATGGACCCAGTCCTTGCAGTCCTCGTCGTTGATGCAGCGTTGCAGGGCCTCGGGAGTTAATACTAAGACGAAGTTCTTTGCCTGCCGAATACTGTTCAAGAGTCCGTTGTCGAATTTGCCCGCCTCCAGGCGCTCCACGTCAATGAACACAGAGAAGCCACGCAGCTGCAGATGAACCTAGGAATAGGGACAGAAATTTAGTAAATCGGATACATTTCAATGTATTTAAATCCAGAATTTTAGGGGCAACACTGCGTATACGTAATATTTCTTGAATCAATTTTATTAAGTATACGCACCTTGAGCAGACTGGCCAACTGGGATCCATTGGAGCGCCTGTAGCTAACAAACACATCCAGTGTCTTGGCCATATTCTCCTCCGATGAGCTGGGCAGCGAATTCTCCAAATTCTTGACCGCATTCAGGATGCGCAGCCGATGAATCGAATTGTGAATGCCACACTCTGTCATCAACATATCCTCGTTGACATGCGGCAGGGCACATTTATCAATGCCGGCATTCAGCATGGCATACGTGTATGTGCAGTAGTCGGTGCCGATCTCCGAGAGGAACTGATGCATCTTGGCCGTATCCTTGGAGGAGTAGTCCGCCATGCGCTTGAGATTTTGCAGCTCGCGCTCGAATCGCTTCAGCAGGATTCCATTGCCGATGCCAATGTCAGCGCGCAGGTTGTCCTGGTTGAGCTTCAGCAGCAGATCACCGTCCACCTGGGACTCCTGGAACTTGTCGATGTAGTCATTGAAACCGATCTGCTTCACCCACTCCTGCACATCCTCCACGGACCACAGTGGCACCTGCTGCGATAGCTTGTGCGGCACCGTCTCCCCGATTAATCTCAGTGCCTGAGCGGCGAACTTGGAAGCGATGGCATTGGGGCAACTGGCCACGGTTTTCAAAGCTTCGATGGCATTGATCTCCCGGAAGATATCGGTGTTGCCCTGCTCCCTCTTGATGCCCGCCTCCATGCAGAAGTGGAAGGCAGCCAGATTGCGTGCCTCCTCGCGATTGGAACTCAGGACGGGCACCAGTCGCTGGAGCCAGTGCTTGCTCTGCCCATGGGCATGGGCCAGATTGGATCTCGCGAAGGCGGAGGGATCATGGGAGGTGACAAAGGGTTCCACCAGGTCCAAGCAACCAGACTTGAGCACCTCGGCTTCAATTTCCTTGTTGGCCACCAGCACAGCAATGGCCAGGCACGCATAGTACTTGATATTATCGTCGTTGTGGAAGGCCAGCGGGAACAGCCACATGGGCACTTTGCGCAGGATCATCTCCTCCTGGTTCTCGGCGCCACCGTATAGCGACAGATTCGCCAGGGCACTGGCACAATGACGCAGGGTCTCCACATCGCTGGTGCGGCACTCGAAGAGTACGGCATCCAGGCCTCCAAGTCTTATCACATCGGAACACGTTCCCTCCGAGTGCTTAAAGAGATGCTCCAGGATGCCAGTGCCAACGCGGGAGTGCTCCATATTCGACTTCTTGGTGCAGACGCAGGCCACATTTACCACCTTGTCCAGACCGTTGTCCACCACATGCTTGCGATTCTCGGTCGTGAGGCACTGCTCCAGGAGTTGGGCGGAGGAGAACTGCAGATCGGGCTTGACGCAGTTCTTCATCAGCAGATCGAGGCCGCCGCTCTGGCGCAGGGAATTGCACAGCGAGTAGCCCAGCTCGTGGCCATGTGTGGGCACCGCCCAAGCTCGTCGTATCACCTCGTTAATCTTCTCTAGGTACTGGGACTTCTCCTTGCCACCGACCGAGGAGTGAGCCACTGCACTCCCACCGCCACCGCCCCGCTCATCCTCCTGCAAGGAGCTCACTATCGAGGTCAGCATGTTCGAATACTTATTGATCGTCTGCTCGATCTCCTGCTGACCGCTTCCCGCTGTCAGGGACTTGAGGTCGTCCAACTTGAGATCGGTGAGCTTCACCATTTGGCCGTTCATTGCGGACATTTGGGAGGAGCTGGTGATCATGCTGCTGCCGGAACTGGAGACGCCCTTGTGCGTCATCGAGTAGTTGGCCTGCGAGGCAGAGGACACATGCTTCTCCTGGCTGATGATACCATTGGAGGTCATCGTCTGCGACTGCTGGGACTGTGAGATTGCCTTCTTGTCCGCGGAGAAGTTGTCGCTCTGCACCGTAATACTGGTGGCGGCCACATTGTTGCTCGCCTGCTGTGTGATGTCGCCGGTGCGCAGCGAGAGTGCTTCCTGGAATAACCCAGGTTAGGTGGAAATAAAGGAGAAAAATGTTAATAATTATAGTGATCAGTTAATTTAATATATGTAAATGTAACTCTCATATATACTTATCAAAATATAATATGATACACTTGTTAGGTTAAATGAATTATAAAAAAGGCTGGCTACAGATTTCTAGGAAACTTTGGAAATTAGCTTTAAAGGTTTCTCCAACTTACGTATTTAATAAACAAATAAAATGGAATTCCAATCCATATTTAATAATCAATGCAAATCTCTTACATTTATTATCTGGAATTCCAATCCCAAGTTTGATCTAAATTCTAGCTTATTCATTCCAACACCCCCCCACTAAGTCACCTAGTTTTTGAATACATTTGCTAAGTAAAACCCCTAAGCTCTGCTATACCTTGCTCTGCTCCACCTCAATGGGAATTTCACGAACATTTTTCATATGATTGCTGTTGGAGTTGCTGTTGTTATTGTTGTTGTGATTGGGTGTTGTAATTGCTGAGTGGTTGGTGTGATTGTTGTTGGGTGGCTGTTGTTGTTGTTGTTGTTGAGGAGGTGGTGGTGGCGACAGTGGACAGTTGCTAATTGGCTGTGGGGGCGGATTAGAACTCTTACGTACTCTGGTATGTGAGCTAGAGCTCGAAGAGGATTGCGACGAAGAGGAGGAGGAGGAGGAGGAACAGGCCGATGCCGCTCCAGACATTCTGGCAGCGGACGATGCCGTGGACATGGTTGTGGCTGCCGTAGAACCTGCCGCCGTTACCACTTGAATGGGTTGCGGTGGCGGTGAGAGCGGAGAGTTAATACCGAAGCGATTCGGTGATGTGGTGGCCACCGGTGGCGGTGACAGCGGCATCTCGACAATGGGACTGGGCGAGCGGGTGGGCGTGAAGTCCGACTGGCCGCTCGACCGGAAGATGCCCTTGCGGACGGGCCAAGGCGCCTGATTAGACATTTGTTTCCTTTAAAAATGCTCAGCAAAAGACGACGATGAGACAGAAGCAGGTATTTCAATGCCAAAGTCGGAACGATTGCGATCACTCTATATTTGTATATACAAATATATACAAAAACGTATGTTTCTGTTTCGTTTGCGTATTTTTTTTTCAGTCTTATGTACTTTGTATTTATTTATTTTCATTCACATAAAAATAGCGCACAAATTGGCTGCGTCGACGTCGCCGTCACTTTCTCTGTGTTCTGTTGCTTAAATATTTTTTTTGCTGTGTATTCGTATCTGTTATATAGAGTGAAGATATATGTAAGTGTGTGTATGACACTGACCGACAAATAGAGCTTGTAATATTTTACAGTTAGATGGTAATTAACAAGGCACTTGACACGACGAAGCATGCGATGACCGAATCGAACGAACACTTGTTGCACCGCCTTATGGCATGTGGTGAAATAGGAAAGACTTAACGAAGGAGCTCACATAGCGGCGAAAGCGATAGGCCATCTGTCGTTAGGTTTTTCGATTATCCGTAGTTAAGTTATATTTCGTTGGGTTCTCACTGGGATTATTGGGGTTCGTCAAGTTATGAAAACAGAGTTTCGTTATTTAAATATTTTTTTACTTGCTCTCTTCGATATATTTTGTTCACAGTCTATGATATTTTCAGAATTTTTGAAGGTCAGCTCTTTGCTATACCATATATTCCGTTGCACCTGCGACAATATCAGTTTTTGTAAACAAAAATCGCGTTACAATTGTTATGTATTTTAATTAGGAAGTATTTGTCACTTGCGTTGGCTTTGTATTTAGTTTCGATTCTGTCACAGACACACATCAGTTTCGACTATATGCAAATGATTATAATGTTCTCTATTTTATTCTACATTCTCAAGTACATATATTTCGATGGCTGAAACGCTCGCGACGCTTGTCTATCTGCTACTGAGGTCCGCGTGTCGCTCTGAAGCAATTTTATTCAAAAGAATTTCGAAAATAATACAACGAGAGCAAATACAAATACAAAAATTCTCGGAGCGCAAAGTCGTGGGAAATAAATCAAAAATGGTGAGAGGGGTTGGGTGGGGTTCTTTTCCCGATCTTTCCCTGATCGCTTCTCGGAAATACACACATAATTCGGGGCAGTGCGTGCTGTTCCATGGGTTTTGGAGCAATTGACGTAAATGTCCTAAGACCATTCCGTGTTGTTCGCCAATCCATAAAAATCGTATCAAAGTATTTTCATTGAATTTTTTTATATTATTGTTTAAACTCAAAAGCACTTGTTGGCTCCGCACATGGAGCGTGGCTGTCGGCCTAATTTTTTGGCACAGACCCAGGCACAAGGCAACCCCATTCAAATTAATGCCTTCGTGCAAGATTTTATATTTAAATTTTCTGGGATGGATTGAGTTTTGGTATTTACTTAATAAGGGTGCTCTGTCTCTGATGGATGGGGATGATGATGTGTTGATGGAGAGGATGTGAGGGGATCTTTTTGTATGGGAGAATATAAATGTTTTAAAAGCAACATAACATAAAGTATTGATAGGGAAATTGATAACAACCTTTCAATTTTAGAACTTCAGATTATAAATTCATTAATAAGACTCTCAAAAGTATGTCAAACAATGTTGAAATTTCAAATGAATTAGTTTAATCATATAATAAAAACCACATTTATTAATTTAAGCAGAAGCCTTAAAAGTTGTTACATTTTGAAGCATACTTTTCAGCGCCATTTCAATATAGTTCAAATCTTCAATAGCTTTTGTAAAACCAATCATAACAATGACTTTTTGTTTGACCTTTTCTCTAATTTCCCAATATTATATATATATTTTTGTTATCCTTGACATTTACTGCGTATTTTGAGGTTCTAGACCCAGATATATATATCGGTCACCATAAAAGAATGAATGCTAATAAACGTATGCAAATCAACAACCACGATGTAACTCAGTCTGATTAGATTAAATCTGTCGGTGCAACTAAAGTCTTCCCCCTTTTATCAACTCTACTGGGTGTTACCTGGGTAACAGGTGTAAAGGCAAACATAAAAACACATCAGGTGTACCTGAACTTTTCGAAACATTCCGATGGGGTTTTCCTTCTTGGACTTGCAGTAGTTACGGATGAATTTGCTGGGGCTCCCAAGGAGCAGGCACTTGTTAAGGAACATTTCACATTACTCTCTAGTTTTTGGCGCCAGACAATCGATTTTCTTGAAAATATATGCGTAAGCAGGAGGGTAATTTCGCGACTTTGGTAACTTTCACTCTTGGAGAATTTTCCCTGTGAACTGGACTGGCTGGCCGGGAATTTGCTATTAACGCCTTGGCACTGGTGTCCCTTATGCGACCTTAACATGCACGCGATGAACTCCCAACTGAAAGGAGTGGTCTGAATGGTCTAACAGTTAGCAAAAGCTCTCGAAATGGGGGTGACTCCCCTTTGGGGCTTTGGGGCTCGACCAACTCGACCAACAACTGCTCCCTTTGTTTATACTTTCACCCCTGCAGTGAAGCTTTATTGGCCAAAAAGCTCGAGGACAGATTTTAGGGGCGGTGAGTTCAATGACAATTTGCAGAAGGTTATTAACTCTGATTTAAGGATGGGTTAACACAAAGGGTAATCCGATTATCTGAGAAACTATATATAGCAATTAAAACTAACTTAAAAACTCTACTCTTTCAGTTTCTTTTACACAAATAATTTGCCTTAATTTTATACTTTATATTCTCAAAAAAACTCACCTTAATAATGGCTGCATTCTCTTCCGTCTTAACGCCATCAACCTCCAATCGATTCCGCATCGCTGCCGAGCCCTTGCTCTCCTTGTAGTCTATATCTCCGGCCTGGAGGCGCTTCATCTCCGCCGAATTGCTGGTGGCCTGCTCGGAGCTGAAGCCATCGGTGACCACTTTGGTCTTGGACTCGGTCTTCATGCGCTTCTCCTGGAACTTGATCGTATCGATCGTCTTGCTGGAACCGCTCAACCCGCTGGCACTCAGCTGGGCGGCGGTTGGATGGGTGAGGTCAAGGCCGCTGCCAAAATGATTATGCGGGCAGTCGTCGTCGTCGGGCAGGGTCACAATCACATTGCTGTCATCATCGTCCAGATTTTCAAACGATGCCCGAAGCCTGGCAAAAAAGAATAAGAAACGTTAATTGAAGGTAAAGATACATATTGCGAATATGACTTTAAGGTCAAAGCACTTTCAATTGGCAACTGTTTGCAACATTTTTGAATTTCTGAATTCTCTAATATTCTGCCACTCGCCCTCTCGCTCTGTCTAAACTATTCTTCATTTCTCTAGCGCTCTATGTGTTTCTCTAGGCATGCCTCTTTCGCTCGCTCTTTCTGTGCTTAACTCTAGAGAAAGCAAGAGTTACTCTCTCGCTCCCACTTTCTCTGCTCTCTTCACTTGGAGAGTATAAATACAGGCGCTATCGGCCCGCGCGCCTCAGTCTGTCCGGGGCCCCCCACCTGTTAACATCTAGAGTGATAGTGATAGTGATTAGTGATTCGACCCCAAAAATATGACGTGGCCTATGCAATGCATCTGGTTGACCAGGAGGATGATCAACGCGATGATACCAGGGTAACCGTGTGTCCTCTACTGAGGTAAGTCTTAACCAAGACAATTATATCATATACATAGATTATATAGGAGCGATCAGGTAGAAGCAGCTGTGCTAGCTATGCATTTATTTTCAAATTAATTACCTTATTGCCATGTTATTTTGTGTTATGGATATTTTTATACGCATACTTAAAGTTAACAGTCTAAATTAATTATAAATTATTCACCCATATTGATTTATTACCCTCTATGATAGTTTCAAAAATACATCTTTATAGTACTTTAATTATAGTATTATAGTAAGCGTATTTAAAAGTCTATCAGTGCCAAAAATAAATGTAAGGAGACTTCGGAGACAATTAATTTCTTATTTAAAGGTTGTTTGCTGTCACAGAGTTTAAGTTTAAAGAAAATCTTTAGCTCTTATATTTTCCATAGTGATCTCAACTAGAAACTTTTACTAGAGAATTCCTATTTTATGTGTCACTATCAATCAGCAGAGCTGTCTATCTATGGAAGATGGTTACGTTGCAGATAGATAGATACTTTTTCGACGAGTCACCATTGATTGGTAAAAAGTTTTTTCGGTTTCAAAGATAGCAAACACTCACTTCTTTGCCAGTTGGGTGATCTTGTCCTGGTTGCTGAGACCCCTGAGATCGTCAATCGACGGATGGGCGGATGTGAGTTTAGGTGTTAGCCGACTTGTCGTCGTCTGGGCCATTGTGCTGGGATGTGCCGTTAGCGCTGATGGTGAGGATGTGGTATTTGTGGATCCTGATCCCGATCCTGCTCCACCTGCAATTCGTTCGATGGCCAGATCGTTGATTTCCGACATGGACTTTTGGATATTTGTGAGATCTCGCTTGACCGCCGCCGCTTTCATCTCCGCCGACGTGGACAGGGCCTGTGTGGTGGAGGAGCTGGAGGAGGACGACGATGAGGAGGAGGACGATGAGGTTATGTGATGATGCAGGCGCTGTGACTTCTTTTCCACCCGGGTCGTGGTACTGCTACTGCTGCTGTTGACGACCTGCAAAAAAACAAAATAAACATAAACACCAGGCAATAATAGAGGATTGTCATATTTTCTTTTTTTGGCTCAGACTCATCATAGGCGGAAAATGCGAGGAATGTACACAATTGTACACTTTTCCCCACATTCCGCAGTCTCTTTCCGCTTTTTTGTGCAAATACCGTATAGATATCCGTACATATAGGTATATATAAATATATAGTATATAAATGCTTTACTGTCTGGCGCTATCTCAACTCACATTTTATGGCCCGGGGCGCTTAGCTTGGTCTTTATAAATCAAATGAACCATTTGTTTTGGGATCGACATTTGTGTTTTTTGGGGGGAAGCCATATAATATTTGGCTTGCAAGGGAGCTTACCTCCAAGAAAATAGATGGATGGGCCGTCGCTCTATCTATATTCTTGAGTTTTGATAATTAGCCAAAAATGCTTTATGGTTCAACCAGGTTGATTTGATTAAAGATATTTGCCTTGAAAGAGGTTCTCTTGGGTTGGGATTACTCTGGGAACTACTTTACGAAAAGATCTTTAAGAACCTTGGAAGCTCTATAAGGAAAATTGTTCTTATTCCTACTAAATAAATATAGATCTTTGAAGAGGTAATATTAGTTAATTATATCGATTATTAGCTTTACTAGCTCGCTTGAATTATTTGTTTTCAAGTCATTGACCCTAGGTCAGTAAACCTAATGATGCTCTCATCAAGCTTTAATCATCATTTATTCTTTTAAATATATATATGCATATTATTTAATTATAATAAATTAGCTTTTGCCTAATAAAACATGGACAGTCTACCACTCATAACTTTCTAGGAAAAACCCAAGGAATACAATTTTCTATTTATGGTTTATTTTTGTTGAAAAAAGCTAAAGCTCTTCGTCGTCAAAGCATTTTTGACAAATGTTCACGTATTACGAATCAAATCTAATTTTGGCCAGGTTTTGCAGGCGTCTGCCAGAAGAAAAGGCAAAAACGAAGCAGAAGCCGCAAAAGTCAAACAAGTTGGACTGATAGTATATATATATATATACATATGGCCAAGTATGTGGGCAGCGATCGGTTTTATAAGGCATTCTTCTTCAAGTTGAGGCAATAAAACATGTGCAAATACATAAATCGCAAGCGATTTGAATGGTCGTTGCGCATACGACATGTTGGCAAAAGCCAAGGCAAAAGGCAAATACACTTCGCACCCTCTTCTTGCTTTTCCGGCTGACATACACTTATCGATATGGTAACACCTTATAGTTTGCCCCCACTGATTAATAAATATTTCCCTTTTCAGGTGAGTAAAGAGTAGTGAGGAAGTCGTTGTTGTCGTCTTTTGCTGGACATGAAATCAAAAGATTAGATATCGCCTTGTTTCATTCTTTTCTTCCCACCCTCCCCTTCCGATTTCTGCGTCATTTAATAATTTATCACCATTGTATTTCATATTTATATGTGGACTAACCTTTTTTAGATCTGCGAGAGAGTGTAACTTCTTGGAAAACTCGTCTGTTTTCAATTGAATTTCATATTACGTATACGCCTACGTTTTGATAAAGCACTTAACTCGGGCATATATAGTATAGACTTGCTATATATATATATGTGTATAATCAGCTCGGGATGAGGGTCTTATCAGACATGAACACACACACAGAGACACAAAAACACAATTGCTTAGCTTTTCTTCACTTTTTAGCCAGCAATTTCCGCTAGTATGTGCAGGACTTTTACTTTTCGATTTAATTTTTCTTTTAAGCTTTTCCGCCTTTTCACTTTTCCACTCACTGACCTGACTATATATTGACTCTTTCGTTTCGCTTTTCTACTGCCTTCGTTCTCGGTCGTTTCTATTTAATTTGTGCAATACTGATAACAAAGAGTGTTCGTTTAATTGTTCGTTAATAGGCAAAAAACCCACGATTCTTTGCTCATTGATTTCGTTCGATACTCGTCGTTTGGCGGCGGCGAGAGTTATTATTGTTATTATTATAAAAAGTTGAGTTTGTATTATTATTTCGTTTTTGACGGCACACACGCTTAGCAGACTAGGAATACAGCAAAATTATTTCCGCCTCGGATGACTGTTTTGTATTTTATATTTTTTGCTATAGTATTTCTTGAATCTCTTAGCGCGTCGCTGCTGGTTCGTTCGTTTCGTTAACTAAAATAAAAATGAGCGTTGAGCACGAAATTTCTAGCTTCGCACAGGCACAGCGTGGGAGCTTCAAGGCAGAGAGCTTTCAGCACTGTCGCGTCGCTGTCGGCGTCACTTTAAAGTGTGCGATCGACGAAAGATACACTTGACGAAAGAGCTTCCAAAGAGATAGAACACTTTGCTTACTCTATCTTTCGTTTATTTCTAACAAAATGAGAACATAGGTTATGTTTTTAATACGATTTTAACATTGTTTCAAGCAGAGGGTTTGCTAAGGGTATTTGTCTTTGCCCTTGCCTTTGGCCAACATGTCGTATACGTAACGCCCATTCAAACAAATTACTTGATCTTTGATTTATTTCTAACAAAATGAGAACATAAGTTAGGTTTTTAACAAGTTTTAAACATTGTTTTGAGAAGAGGGTGCAAAATGTTTGCTATGGGAATTTGTCTTTGCCTTTGCCTTTGGCCAACATGTCGTATACGTAACGCACATTCAAATAAGTTACTTGTAGTGGCTAGATATGAGCAAAATAGCTATAAATACGTTGTTATATTGCATAAAACTAGCTTCTACAATAGTGACTTTAACTTTAAGTCACCATAAGCTACACTTTAATACATTTTCCCCAGTGTAAAAGAGAGATAGTGAGAGCAAAAAGTAAGAGACAGGCTGAGCAGCTAAAAGGCAACACATGGAGGTGGCTACTAATGGGTGTGTGTTGTGTGTGTGTTGTGTGTGTGTGTGTTTGTGAGGAATTCTAGGAAATCAAATTGTAAATACAAGTCCGGGGCGGCTCTCTCCCTCTCTCTCTCTGCCATAACATTTGCAAATGTGTGTGTTTTCTGTTCGCTTCCCTTCGCTTAATCTTTAATTTATGCCGTGAATAATTTGCATTTCCATAATTCAGCTGCTAAGTCGGGCTGCGTTCACGTGTTTGTCTAAGCTTTTCAAGCTTTAGCTTCTCTAATTAACGAGTTCTCTGGCCTGCGGTCGATTTGTGGTTTATATTTGTTCGATTTTTTTCAGATTTCAGCTCGTTGAGGATTGTCCAAGATTTGTATCTCGTTCTACACATTTCAATTTGCGGCGTTGTTTACTTTTCTGATTACCAAAGGGGGAAGGCGAGAAGTGGAAGCTTTGTTTTGTTTTTACTTAATATTTGAATAGTAGGGTGTTAATCTGTTCATAATTATTCAGCAAATTTACTTTGCTTTTATAATATTTTAATGACTATTGAAGCTGTTTGTGTGATTTTTTAAAATAGATATAAATGAGTTTTAAACGGTCTAAAAAGATTGTATATTAAGAGTGGTTTTTATTGTACCTGTTCTGGATCTGATTCAGTTTCAAATTTTATTTTAAGTGTAGCAATTATTCAATTTATCACAAACTTTAATAACTTTTGAGTTTTTAATTGCTAATAAATTGTAATTATTCATTATTCAACATGTGATCCATGTGTAATAAAATAGATATATCAACTAATTTTTAACATAAATATTAATACTGCTTTTAATAACTTAATCTGTTGATTATTTCACTTGAATTACAATGATCTTAATTGCCTGATTTTTTATGGTTAAAACCCATAAATAATGGCTTTACTATCTTACCTACGAATATCACTTTCTATTCCTAGACCTCTTTCGTTGGTTTTACCTCAACAATTTCTGCGAAAGGGGAAATCATATCGCTAAATTGGTTTGCTAAGCCCACTAAAATAAAGTCTTTTTCACCAGAAAACAAAAATTGTCATCGCTTACCCAAATCATTAACAGAACCAATGGAAACCAGCGATTCTCCCCGAAGCAATAAGTTGGGTAATTTGTGATTTTTATTTCACAGAATATGAATGAATATATTTTTGTTGCTTCTATAGAAGATAGACTATATATAGCTTTATGGGTTGAAAATCACATAACAATCAGATCACCATGATGCTTGTTGAACTTGGAACACAAATGAGGCTATAATCGCAACCAGGATGTAAGCAGATAACGCAAAAATGATGAGCAAACAATCAAAGGCAGGGAGGGGGGAGCAGGGGAAAAGCGGAGGTGGGACGGAACCGGAGGTGGGACTGAATCGGAGGCACCGGCGACGACGACGCCGGCTGACGTAGAATTTGATGGCGACGAAGTGTGCCGGCAAGTGACTCAGCCTCCCCATTTAAAGCGAGGCAAGAGGAAGACTTTGGCAAATGTCTCATACCCAGTATTTGATGATGTTTATTACGGGTATATTGGTTTGTGGATATAGTTTAATAACTAGAGAAATAGATAAAGCTAAGAGATGTACAAGAATGTTTGTTGGAATTTATAAAAGATACTAAGCAATCTACTTAAGGGGGTAGACCACCCTGACATTTTTTAAAAATCTAATTTTTTTTTTTTAATCAATCTTGATGCCGATATTCTTACGGTCATTTTAAGACATCGGGCTTAAAAATATCTCGTTACTTGTGGATTCTACAGCCATTAGAAGTGAGCGCTGCCGGTATACCGTAGAGTACTTTCTTTATCTTCTTTTGCGTTTTTCTCAAAACAACGTTTTTTAAAACGGTGTACATGATTTCTCAAAAACCGCCGGATCGATTCTCTTCAAATTTTTACACAGCTTCTCTATAATGCCCTCTATGGCATGACGTAGGATTTTTTCGATATGTTTTTTTGTTTTAAAGTTATAAATTTTTAAATCAAAAATTTTGTTAAAAAAAAAATTTTTTTTTTTCAAAGTGCTCCCATTTGCTCAAAAAAAATTATTTCCAAAAACGGCTACGTCATGCTATAGCCATACTTATATAGCTTATAAAAAATTTTTGTTTTTGAATTTCGGATAACAAATGTGGTGTGCAGCATGTACACCATCCGACCATTCCCTAAAAAAAATTCGTTTTTTGACTGGCTATATCTCCGAGGTTCGTAAATATTTTTTTTTCTTTCAATAATTTTTTTTTAGTTTAACATATGTACTTTGATGTACTAATAAATAAAAAGTTGTATTCCCAATACCTTAGTCAAAATGAATTTTTGAAAAACCCTCCAATTTTCATGCGTTCAGGGTGGTCTACCCCCTTAATTTTCAAGGCAAGAAAACCTATAAGAATAAATCACTAAATAGGAATCTTTCCCAAGGGGAACATATAATTAAAAGCAATATTCTTTACTTAAAAACGTTGAATTATTATTTTAAAATCTTTAAAGTCTTACTTCAAGACAGCTTTGATAAACTTTTTAGGTTTTGATAAACTTTAATAAATAAATTCAGCTAACTCAATAAATATTTATTAATCTCTTAATACTTCCTAAATAGAGGCATGAACTATATATTTTTAATTATAAAAATAATATAAAATATATATATTTAAGGCTGTTTAAATTACTGAGTATTAAACTAGACCATAACCCTTACAAGTATCACAATTTCTCACATGTTTGTACTTTTGAGATGTTCAACAAACAACTGGCGTCAGTCTCTCAGACTCTTAACTAACTGGGGGAAAATGTGTCATAAACATACTACAATAGCAAATTACTTTTATATGTACTACCTTTATTATGACCTGTCAAGTTCTAATTTAATAAATTAATAGGTAAGGGAGAATCTGGATCTAGTCAGTGGCTATTTTCAACAAATGAAATAATGGTCATTCTGCCTATCATTCTTACATATAAGGAACAGGTCAATGCTATTATCAGATCCAAACACTCTATCAAATCAGAGACTATTTTTAAGAAACAAAAATTGCAAACACTTGATGGACTTCTCACCCATCAAAATAATATTCAAAATGTCTCAGTATCTATTTTTAGCAGACTCTTGACACTTGACACACTATCTGATTGGGAACTTCCTTATCAAAAAATAGTGACAGGGAAAACTTGAAGATAAAAAAAACATGTGTGTGTGGCAAGCTATGCAAATTCCAGTGAAAACCCCAATTCGTATCTTATCTACGTGAAAATCATAAAAAGAAGCATAAACAAATTGTTAACAGGTCATTAAAAATCGGCACGTTTTCTTTTGTATTCTCCGCTTTATATATTTTGCTAAATTGTTCAGTGTGTTTCAGTGCGGCAAACAATAAATAAATAAATATATGATTAACAAAATCGATGTTGTTATTTTTGTTATCCGTCCAGCAGCCGCAATGTCGCCATCGAAGCTATAAAATTCCCAAGGGGCAGGTAATCTTATCAAGGATAGAAGGGCACTGCTGCAGCATTCCTTTATCAAGTGTTAACCTCTATACTTATCGGTTTCCAGTACCACCAAAAGGTTGCCTCGATTAGGGGGTTCCTTACACCTTAAGTAATGCGTTAAAAATAGCGACATTATGCCAACTACGCCCGATTCCATACTGTTCAGTTACGATATCTGAACTGTGATGACCACAGCTGCGTCAGATTCTATTTTGTCTAATCGAACACTTGAGTTCTCGTGGATTCAATTCAAAATCTTTGTTCCACTTTACTTTTTTTTTTTTTTTGGTATAATTTCCATTGAATGAATAAGTGTGGTTGATAAGGTGTATAAGCTAAAAACACTATGGTTTTTATAAGTAATTAGATTAATAAAGGTAAAGGTAAGGGATAGTCTTCAAAATAAAGGAAGTATCTAGACTTAGACCTTACTCAATAATACATTATTTAAGGTAATACTGTACAAGATGTTTCCTTTTTTATATATAGTTTTGAATCTAGATCAAATCTTTCCTATTTCCTATAAATATACTTTAAACTCTTACCTGCTGTGATGTGGATGTGGACTGATGTGAGGTTTCCTTAAGACTACTGCATGAACTGGAGCTGGTGTTGATTTGCCTGCCATTTGCTGTGGTTGTGGCCACCACACCACCTCCGCATCCACCACCACCACCCACAGCCATTGCAGAACCATTCAAGGTCGTCGTTGGCATAACTGTGGTCGTGTTGGTGTTGTTTCCACCACCCCCAATGGGCTGTGGCGATCCATTCTTCTTGTGGAAACTCTCGATTAACGATGAGGCCGGACTCAGCACTCCGCTGGGTGAACTATCCGAGAAGTCTGTCATCTAAAGGGGGGTAAAAGAGGAAAAAAGGGGTACACATGAGACGTGTGAAAAACCGCTTCGAAATACAAGCTTATCAGTGAAGCTGAGAAACGATTTCCTTATATGGCAATGAGTAACTCTGAGATACATATATGCATATGGAGATGTCAGCTCTCACTCTCTGGAATTCCAGAGAAAAATAACTTTATGATAAGTAACAAACAAATAGAAAATGCGGATTCCCCATAATTAAGTATTGTGCTGTATGAAGTACTTAAAACTCTCGTTCATATGCTAAACAGGTGCCTTTCAATAAGATTTATTGATTGTATTTCTTGGGTCATAAAAATGGGAATTTTTAACAGCAAAAATCATGTCGCTACAACTCAATTAAAATTATTCTGTTTATATAGAAATAACTTTCATTACAAAATGAAAATTTAATAAATTTTGTAACTATAGTTTACCCATAGAGACTTTCTCTAACTCTCAGCCTTTAATAAATATATTGTTTACGCTTTTAGCACTTTATTTTTTGTGGCCAGTAAATGCAGCAGCTTTGGGTATTATTACTGGGTATTATTGATAAAAAAAAGCGTCAACAAGGCCATGAAAATGTTATGGCGAGATAAATAGACTTTCTAGAAGGATTTTGGGGGCCCAACAACAAAAGGTAATAGCCGACTCCAGGCTCAGGCATAGATTCAGCATTTCGTTTCGCCCAGATTTGAATTGATTTATATTTGTTGTCTTACTTCTGCTTGTTGAGCAATTTAAAAATTTACATAAATACATTGCAATGATTTATCCCCCACTCGCTGGAAACGTAACTAATTTTTTCTGCAATACGATTTGTGAAATTCGATTTGGCGCGTGGGTCGTGTGTTTATTATTATTTAAATCAGTCAATATGGCTGAGATGGGAAGTGTGTGTGGGCAGGATCACAGACAATGTATGGTAAATAGTACAGTAGGGGTCAAAATAATAGAATGACTAAACGGTTATTAATATTCTAATTTAGTGCTCGCTTCTGCTTATTAGTAAGGTATTCAAACTTTAAAAAAATAAATATATACAGTTCTTTATTTATCTTTAACAAATATGGCTTTAATATCAGAAGCCATTTAAGTTTGTTTAATTGTTTAAGTATTGTTTTTTGCTAGAATAAATACGTGACGGTAGCATATATTATTTATATATATGCATAATAATTTATTCAATACTTTAAAGTTTTTTTTCTTTGCTTTTAAATATATATATATATATATATAACAGGCTAAATAAGCTGTAATTTTGTTGAACCATGCTTTTACAAATATTTTACAGATATAAAAACTAATATCTAGTTTTATATGTAACTTATAAAATTTAAAAATTAAACCTAAATTCCCAAAAGTATCTAATATCTGTTACTTCTTCTTTAATTGTACTAAATAAACAAATGTAAATAAAATATCTAATATCTATTACTTCTCCTTTAATTGTACTACATAAACATATATGTTTACCTTTGATATTTATCATCGTTCAATCAATATTTTGGCAAATTATTCAAGTTTAATTTGTGGAGTAAATAAAAAAAAAAACCCCAAAGACCGTTACCAAGCAACCATTATGGCAGAGAGCTTTTCCGCCAAGCTTTTTCTACATTTTCTTTAGCTTCCATATCTAACGCTGAGCTCCAGCCGGTGGCCTGCAGCACTGAATACACCCACTTACAACACTGGTAACTGCGCAGGGCCCACCTGCCAGGGCTGCGGTAATTAATCAGCTGTAAGCTGAAATAGTTGCTCACTTTTTTTGTTGTGGAAAAGAAAAAATCGCAGCTCTTGGTGTTATCTTGTGTTTGTCCAGTTATTAACACTCCACAGAGCGGAGAAGTGTGCAAAAGTGGGTGAAGAACCAGCGCATTAACAGATGGAGCGAGTGTGGACTCTTGGCTGTTGCCTTTTGCTGGCCGCTGGCTCGATGGCGTCAGCAGCATATGCCGACGTCACGACGCAAAATGCCATGTTAGGCAGCAAGAAAACGCACAAAGAAACCTCTGCGGCGGACAGCTCCTCGGTGGCTACGGCTGGTGGACTGTCCAGCAACGGCGTCTGCTCTCGGATGCTTCGACATGTCTTCGAGAATGCCACACCACGGGACGAGCAGCAGGCGGGCGTCTTTGAGGAGTACAAGCCACAGCCAGACTCAGTGGAGCCCCTGGAGGAGGAGGCCTATCTGTGGAACTGCCTGCAAGCCTGCTGCGAGAAGCCCAAGAATGTGACCACCGGCTCTTGCAACGTGGTGCTGGTGTTCAAGGGCAAGTGCTATCACATCCGCTGCCAGAGCAACGAGGCCTGCCTGCCCAAGCAACGGGTGCGGTTGCCCAATGAGAAAGTGCAAATGGTACTGGTCAATCCCGTGGGCGAGGCCACCTGGCCGCAGCTGCTCAAGGCCGAGGCGGCCAAGCAGAATGCCGAGATCCTGCCCTACGACGAGGCGGCTCTGAATTTCTGGAAACAGCCACGCAGATTGGGTTACTTGGCACGCAATCAGGTGGGTTTTTTACATGTATTAGCACTGTCACATATCGACCAAACTTCTCTCTAGGAGGGATCCCCTGAGACACCTAATACTCCATTAAATACATACAATATATACTAATAATCACCAACTTCACCATCTTAGGAAAGCCCCGTTTACGAGGACGACGACTTCCCGTTGGCTGACAAGCGAATGAACCAATTGATTCTCCAGCCAGATGAAAACGATGTGCTGGCCAATGAAGAGCTTAACTACTACGATCAGAATGCCAAGTTTACCGCCTGCGACCTAGAGACACCGTGTCCGCCGCCTCAGCAATGTGTGCCCCTTCAGCCGAATGCGGTGCGGGGCGTGTGCACCTGTCCCAATGGTTTCATTTGGAATAAGCAACGCAAGTGCGTGATGGCCGCTATTCCCTATAGCTCCTATCTGACCAGCAGCAACGAGGCAGTTCAGCAGGATGCAGTCGCGGCGGCGGCCAGTGAGAACAGCTCGCCGGAGGTAGCTGCTGCGCCAGCGAAAACCGAACAAAACAAAGATATTGTGGTGTCCGTGATGTCGAAGGAGGTTCGACTGCCCGAGCAGGAGGTGACACTCGCCGCCTTCACGGTTCCCGATGAGCAGACCAGCGATACAAAGTACAAATATTTGTGGACTCTCATATCGCAACCCAAGGGACCAATGAATGGTACAATCTCCGATCAGAGCAAGTCCAAGGTGAAGCTATCGAATCTCTCTGAAGGATTGTACACCTTCAAAGTGACAGTGACCGGAGACAATGGAACCTTTGGCGAGGCAACAGCGAATGTTACGGTGCTGCCGGAAAACCGAATCAACCAGCCGCCGCAGGTAATCATCTCACCCAGGGAGCAGATTATCCGACAGCCCACCACGAATGCCATACTGGACGGTAGCACCAGCACGGACGACGACAAGATTACCAACTGGCACTGGGAGGTTATCTCGGGTCCGATTGGCTACCAGCCAGTCTTGCCGGAGGTGAACACCCTTCAGTTGGACCTCACCTCGCCGGGCAACTACACCTTCAAGCTCACCGTAACCGACTCGAATAACATTACCAACTCGACCACGGCCACAATAGCAGTCCTCAAGGAAACCGACTATGCACCGGTGGCCAATGCAGGGGATGCCGTCATTTTGTATCTGCCGAACAATAATGTCACCTTGAATGGAACTGCCAGTTCGGATGATCATGAGATTGTGGCCTGGGAGTGGACCAAGGATGCTAGCGATGAGGCCAAGGCTGTTGATATGCAGAACACGAGAACTCCATATGTTCAACTATCCAATTTGGAGGAGGGCATGTACACTTTTGTGCTCAAGGTCACCGATGGCAGTGCACAGACCAGCACGGCCAAGGTGCATGTCTTCGTGAAGCCTCCAACGAATTCACCACCAATTGCTGAGGCTGGCACAAACACAGTGAGTTAAATATGGGATAACTTGACGATCAGATTGATATTTAGTATTCCCTTATAGACCACCAGTTTGCCCATTAATTGGGTACTGCTCAATGGCTCGGAGTCCAAGGATGACATTGGCATCAAGAGTTATCAATGGAGGCAGCTGAGCGGACCCAATAATGCAGCCATCCTGATGTCCAACTCATCGGTAAGTAAGCTATCAAGCCTGTTTTTACAATATTTATTAATTTCGCCAATTCCCCAGATTGCCAATGCCACGTCCCTAACGTTGGGTCTCTATGAATTCGAGTTGACGGTAGCTGACGAGAATAACAATACAGCCACTGACACCACTTGGGTGAAGATTGTGCAGGGTAAAGACAAACCACATTATATTTTTTCCAAATTCTCAAATAATATTATTATTTAAAACAGAACGCAATGCCGCACCTGTGGCCAATGCTGGCGGGGATCATAGCATCACATTGCCCGCCACAGCCATCTATTTTAATGGCTCCAAATCTTGGGATGACCTGGCAGTGGTCAAGTACATTTGGACACGAGAAGACAACAGTTTGGCAGCTGGTGTCGTTGTGGCGGACACCGATAAGCAACCCGTTATGATTGTAAGCTACGAAGCTGACTTAATCCCACAGACATTAATCTGGTTTATTCCTTTCCGTAGCTAACAAACCTAGTCCAAGGACGCTATGTCTTCAAGCTGACGGTGAGCGATGACCAGGGCCTCACTAGTTCGGATACTGTGAGCGTGAACGTTCATCCCGATCCCTTGTTGATTCATCTTGTGCAAATGACCCTGCCCATGGGCGTCTCCGTGCTCTCTCAATCCGAGCTGGATTCGGTGGTTCAGAAATTGCAATTGCTGCTGGGCGATGAGAACAAAATCCAGGTCAGAGAGCTCAAGTACGATTTGCACACGGATGCGGCTGTTCTGGTCTTCTATGTGAACGATGGCCAGGGAAAGCCCCTCAATGGCCTGCATGTGGAGCGACAGTTGAGAGCTCAACTCCAGAAGGATGCTTCCATACTGGGAGCCTTGTTTGTGGATATTCGCACAACTGTTTGCCAGAACGATTGCTCCGGGCACGGCAGTTGCAATCCCACAACGAGAGCCTGTATATGCGAGGCATTTTGGATGCCCTCAGCGGGTTACTTCTTTAGCAATCAAGAAGCCAATTGTGGTAAGTAAACCGGAGAACATTATGTGTAAGAAATAGCTGCATAATTAATATTTATTATTGTCCTATAGATTGGTCCATATTGTACGTGTTTGTTGGCGTAATTGTGAGCTGTCTGCTGCTATCGGGAGTATTTTGGGGCATTGCCTGCGCGTGCAGGCAGTCAAAAAAGCCGAGGCTTCGGCAGAAAGTGCAGAAATATGCACTGATAGGCAACCAGGATGAGGAGGCAGCCAGTTGTAAGTCGTTTACTAATGGAAGTTTTATCTGTAAGCTAAAACATGTTTTTCCCTCGCACAGATTCGCGCAACACTTCCCTGACCGAATCGGAAACGGATTCCGATGTTCTGTTTGAGACACGCACAAAGTCCAATGGAGGACTGGGCAAACACAGGTCGCACAATCACCATGGAGGACATGGAAGCAGTGGCGGAAGTGGCGGCTCTTCTGGTCGCGATGGCCACAAATTGATGGCCCAAAAGCTGGGCCGCAAGATCAAGGCATAAACTTAAGCAAAACGAATATATGTGTGTGTTAGTCGATCTACTATACACAGGGGTGGTTCCATAAATAGCTGTGGATCTCAAAGCAATTCGATTCGGAATCCTTAATCTTTTCTGTGCCATCCCTGGACAGTGTGCGTGTGTGATATCTATTTGTATTTTCTATATATATATATATATTTACTCGGAGATCTTTTGTACTTTCTGCATACTTGTATGTACACGTGAAGTTCTAATGTTCCTTTATGTGCAATTATCGTTATTTACTGACTTTTACCTGTGTTTAGACATACTTGTTTGTATTATTATTTAAGCTGCTGTGCAATGCATACTATTTATATGTTTACTTTTAATCCGCTTTTACCTCGATACTTTTTTATGTTCATGTACATATATATGTAGAGATAGCTGTTCACAATCAAATGTAACTGACATGTAACTGCTTAAAGGTGCATTATGCCCTGCATTAAACGAAACCCCATTAGATGAAATGTATTCTGTTTCGATTGTGAGGGGGTAATCAAGGTAAATCAAGTCAAGCATCGTTTGTAAGTGCCTATAACTCAAGTGATCAGTCATTTATCACATTTGGCACACTCTTTCGCCTGATTTGTATGCAGAGCCGATCTCAGCCAAGCGAGGAGGAGTATGCTCAGTGCATTCGAAAATACATCTTCCTTTGACGACTACGGTTTGCTGACGATGTTTACACGACTCTTGTTGACTTATCACAGATTTGCTGTATTTTCTGGCAGCTTCTTTACCCCACCAAGCTTTTAATTCAAACATTGACGCATTTCGGCCCACACATTTCAACCAAACTAGGTTCACAGGCGGATGTCTTGCCAATTTTTGCACAAGAAAAAATATACGAAAAATTTAAAGAAAATCCTAGTATTTTTTAAATACTCTACTAATCTTATCAATTTGAACCAACATGAAATTGTGACATATTGATAAGAGAAATACTTATGCAAAAAATATAGCAAAACAAATTTTGATGGGTTTAAAAAAATCATTTTGATAAAATTAGAGATTGACATGTCCCCTCAGATTAAGGCGTCTGGTATGGAGAAATGTCTTTATCGTTGAATAATTTTGTTAATACTGGTCTTATATTTTTTCTTTCTGTGTAGCTGCCAGTCAAAATGTATGTGTGTTACGTTTTTTGGCGAAATATCTTTAAGAGCGCCGCGCTGATTCGCTGATTCAGTCTGAGCCAGGGGCTTAAGCATTTGCGTGCTTGTTATTGATTTTAGCCGGATTTGGCCGGCTTGGTTTGGTCGTGGTCCTGACCCCCGTCCCCCTGCACCCGCCTCCACCCCCTTGACTGTCACGCGCGACCCATTTTTCACAGCTGGGAGCGGCCAAAACACGCGATTTTCCCATATCCCCCGCACAAACCCAGAACCAAGTATCCATGTGGCGCCTGCCACATGTCATGACCACTGTGTACGGCTGTCCTTTGGCTGTAATTACCCCAAACCTGTCCTGACCTTAGAGGGTTTTGCATGCCCAAAGTGAGAAACCGAAGGTGAGAAAGGTTCTTGAACTCTTATTCAAAATATGATGAAGGAGGAGGAGGAGAAGCACTCCACACCCAATGGCTTTTTCGCTTTTCTTGGTATTTAAAGCCCGCTTAATTGTTTATTTTCCCCTCATAAGTCTCAATTAAATGCCACATTCAATGGCCACTTCCACGAACACTTAACAAATTATGAATTTTAAATTTCTTAATATCCGATGGCCAACTTATTTGCATGATCTCCCTCCGACCTGAGGTCTCCCCAGCTGCTGGCGTTGACAGTTTACAGCTGTCGGAGTTGGACAATAGCAATCACACCTGTAGAGATTCCCCCCTCACCCACCCAAACCCATGGCAGGTGGCAGCTACTGGTATTATCATTATTTTTGTCATTTGTCAAATCAGCCAAAGCGACGAGAAAAAAAGAAACGATTATTTTTTTGTTTTAAAATTGAATTCCCCTGTCGCTTTGAGTTATGGCCATTTTGCATAAATTAAGTGATGGCTTTATTTTGTTTTAAAATTATTATTTTAAACGAAAACGAAGAAGGAATTTCACATAATGGAAATTTAACAGAGAGATTGATTTATGTGGTACGAATAAGAATAAATATAGAATTGTGTTTGAAATTAATCAAAAGCGATTTAAAATATTATTAATTATAGATATAATTCAAAGCCTGTTCAATTAAACAATAAAATTCTGAGGTAAAGCATATAGTATTTAAATGGCACTTAAAATTCTTGTAAATAATAATAATAATTCTTGTAATAATATTTCCTGATTCATTTTATGACACCTAAAACAAGCTCTTAACTTTAATAGCTCATAAAAGGAATGTAATAATTATACTCAAGGGTATTCCCAAGTCATCGTAACTCGTTGACACTTTAAAGCTCTAAAGTCATATTTTATCTTAAATTTTAAACTTGATGATTAACAAAGTTTTATTGATTTATCAACGCATTATTATTGAGGACTAGTCACAAATTCCAACACTAAAACCCTTTCAAGGTTAGTGGTTTTTCTATTTTGTGAGGATTTGCATTCGATTTGCGGTTCGCTTTAGTTCAGTTTCATGCGGTTATTTCATTAAAATGTTATAAAACTTTATCAATTAACATAAAAACGAAATAGGGGAGGCAAAACAGAAAACAGAACCCATAATAAACTGGCTTTTATGTTCGTTTTTGTTTGATTTTTATGTGATTTAAATGAACACCACATTTAAAATTGTCTCCTTGGTTGCGATGGGTGGGGTGGGGCAGGTGAGGGTGGGGGGAAGAACAACATTTTTGCAAGAACCGTTGATAGAGGAACAATGCGGGGGGGATCACATAAAAATAAAAATAAAAAAATTGGCACACGAGACAACGGTTGAGTGATTTTTAATGTATTCGTGACAATAATTTTTGGGCGCTGCTGATACGTGAATAAAGGGGCAAAGGGGATGGGGTTGCGGGTGGCAGCAACACCATAAAATGCTTTGTCTTGTCTGCTTTATTTGCGTTTTATTATTGTTTAATTAGTCCCTGGCATTCATCTATGAATGCCAAACTTTGTTTGTGTTTGCTGGCAACAGCAGTGGCAGTCGTTGCAAAAGCCACACCCCCTTTTAAACCACCCGCTTTTCCCGCACACACAGTAAAAAAATATTGAAGGTCAACTTTATGTTATTTTATAGAAATTTCATAAGAGAAGATCACTTACTTCATATTTACATCTCTTAAACTCTAAAAAATTCACATGTTTAGTGCTTAATTAGTTTGGTTTGTATTATTTACCTTTTTCAAACTAATAACGCACCTTAGCAGCAGCCCACCTCCATTTTACACTTTGTTTATCTTGATCTTCTGGTATTTGCCTTCTTCCCTTCGCTCTCTCTCTCTCTCTATTAGCACGCTCTCACGCCAATAGAAATAATTTCTGTCAATGCCAATGTCAGTGGTGGAAAGAGGGGGGAGAAAAGAAGAGCAGTAGAAGAAGAAGATCAAAATTTGCAAGTGTAAATTACGACGTGCTGCTGCTGAAAAATCGTTTACCGTCGGAAAAAATGTGTGATAATACCTAAAAACCAATTAAATCAATAAAACTAACTTCGTTTAATTCGTGGACACTCAAATAATCATGGATAACATGTATTTTAAAGCATAAAACTGAAAATTAAGTGCGGTGTGTCCCAGCAAGTGCGATTGTGACCGCGAAAAAATTTTGTGGTGGTAATGCCGCAGTGAAAAGATGAAAAAACTTAATTAATACCTATGTATAGATCTAGAAAGAAGTTTTCTAAGTATTTCGCTAATCAAAATCAAAGTGAAGCTACTAAAAGTGCATTAAAAAAAACTTGAGACTCCCGCGGACAACGGCAGCAGCCGCCGCTAATATGTGTGGTTCAGTTGGAAGTTGACAAACCGCGCTTTGGTGCCCATTCGTAAGTACCGTACAACTTCTACTCGCGAGAGTGGCCAAGCGAGAGCGGAGAGAAAGGGCAAATAAGAAGCAGATCAAAATTTGGCAAAGTGTGAAGTGGACGCGTGCTGCTGCTGAAAAAAACATTTATCGTCGGAAAAAGTGCGTGATAATACCCAAAAACTAATTAATTCAATAAAACTAACTTCGTTTTATGTGTGGACACTCAAATAATCATGGATAACTTGTATTTATAAGCATACAACTGAAAATTAAATGCAGTGTGTCCCAGCAAGTGCAATTGTGACCGCGAAAAAATTTTATGGTGGTAATGCCGCAGTGAAAAGATGAAAAAACTTAATTAATACCTATGTATAGATCTAGAAAGAAGTTTTCTAAGTATTTCGCTAATCAAAATCAAAGTGAAGCTACTAAAAGTGCATTAAAAAAAACTTGAGACTCCCGCGGACAACGGCAGCAGCCGCCGCTAATATGTGTGGTTCAGTTGGAAGTTGACAAACCGCGCTTTGGTGCCCATTCGTAAGTACCGTACAACTTCCATTCGCGAGAGTGGCCAAGCGAGAGCGGAGAGAAAGGGCAAATAAGAAGCAGATCAAAATTTGGCCAAGTGTGAAGTGGACGCGTGCTGCTGCTGAAAAAAACATTTATCGTCGGAAAAAGTGCGTGATAATACCCAAAAACTAATTAATTCAATAAAACTAACTTCGTTTTATGTGTGGACACTCAAATAATCATAGATAACATGTATTTATAAGCAATAAACTACAAAGTAAGTGCAGTGTGTCCCAGCAAGTGCAATTGTTACCGCGAAAAAATTTTATGGTGGTAATGCCGGAGTGAAAAGGTGAAAAAACTGAATTAATACTTATGTATTGACCTAGAAAGAAGTTTTCTAAGTATTTCGCTAATCAAAATCAAAGTAAAGCTACTAAAAGTGCATTAAAAAAACTTGAGACTCCCGCGGACAACGGCAGCAGCCGCCGCTAATATGTGTATTCCAATTAGAAGTTGACAAGCCGCGCTTTGGTGCCAATTCGTAAGTACCGTACAACTTCCACTCGCGAGAGAGGCGAAGCGAGAGCGGAGAGAAAGAGCACATAAGAAGCAGATCAAAATTTGCCAAAATGTGAAGTGGACGCGTGCTGCTGCTTAACCAATGTTTTATGTCAAAAAAAAAGTTTAATAATACCTACTGAACTATTTAATCATCAAAGCGAAGTGCGTTGAATGCGGGAACACTGAAAAAACTATTGAACAAGTGAATTTTGAAGTGATTTAAATAAGAACAATGCGCAGCTGCTTGAGTGCGCTACTGCTTGTTTGCGCTGCTTTATTTTCTAACTGTAACCGTGGCCGCGGAGAAGTGAAATAGTGAAAAAATGCACAAAAAGTGCAAGTGCTGAAGTGAACTTAATAAATAACTACGAACTTATGCAAATAATAAAAAGTTAATAAGTGGATATCAAATTTAGCCCAGTAAACCTGCAATAAGAAAACCTGAGCGCCCGCGGACAGTAGACGGCAGCAGCAC